TGCGCTGGTTGAAAGATGTGGACCCGTGAGCCGAAAAGTTGGCCTGTACCGTCTTGCCGGTGGGGATGCTGTTAATTGTGGATCCACCCTATTTTTCATCATTCTTTTATGTTGCTTCTTAGTTCTTACGGTTGTAAAGAAAATCTTCAGACACTTTCCTGTTCATTATATCCATACAGAATTTAGACAATTGCTGCTGATTCCAAATACAGCATCTCATCATGAGTGACTGCTTACAAGGCAAAGAAGTGTACCTTCCTGAAGATAGAGCCGGTTTGGTAGGTACCTTTTTCTTGGGGGGGGGGGGGGGGATGTTAAATCATTCGACTAATATTTTGCCATAGAGCCTTCTGAAATATTGAAAAATTACATTTTTATATGCAAGAGTACTGTGTGCAAGTAGTGATTATAATCATTATACATGTATTCAATATGTTGTTGTTGTTGAAATTGTGGTAAAGAAAATTATTATTATACAGTCAAACATTTCTATTGAAGCCACTCCAAGCAATACAGTGAAAGTGGACACAGTATAGAACGGTGGTCCTCCTAAATCGACAGGTTCTACAAGAAGATTCTAATATTTGAATTGATGCGCACTGCATATACTGGCCATCACTCTAAACAGACTCAGTGCAGACAGGCTTGAAATGAAATTGAATTGAATAGACAGTGAGTCACAAGGTAAATGTTTACATCCCTGCCACTGACAGTGTAATGCAATTAACACCTTCGGACAGAATTAACCTATAGTAGGTTATTGGAATGTACTTTTCGCTGATATTGGTTTCCAGATTTAAAGCTGGGTTACTATTTTCCAGAATAACTCCGGCCTGTTTGAACAGATTGTTATAATTATGATTATCATTATGATTATCATTATGAAACAGTGAATCATTGCGTCTTATTGAAGAAGTTAAAACTAATGGGTTTTATAAGGCAAGTTTAGATTGGTTCAGATCCTACTTATGTAATCGACAACAAGTAGTGGCCATTCATGATATTCGTTCTAAACTAATGCATATAACATGCGGTGTTCCTCAGGGAAGCATTTTAGGCCCAATTCTATTTTCAAGTTATATCAATGATATGTGTATTTGTATAAAAGACATTAAACTATTACTATACGCAGATGACAGCGTACTACTCTATTCAAATTATAATCCTAAATATATTGAGGAAAAGCTCAGTGAACGGCTGTGTGTCGATTGGATGATTGATACTAAGCTTTCTTTACACTTGGGAAAAACAGAAAGCATTTTGTTTTGTTCTGAAAGTATTTCTAAAAAGTCATATAAATTCAAAGTGACACACAATAATCAAGTAAACATTTTAAGAGCAATTTCAAGTAATACCTAATATTTGAGAGTCAGAGAGAGGAAGCGAATGACATGTTATTAAGATTGAAATTTGTATTCTTTTGCCGGTTTATATACTTTTTCATTTTGTATAATTCTACAAATTCATCATTATTTTCCTCTTCTTCCTCCTCTTTTTCTTTTTCTCCTTCTTCTTGTACTTACTATCATTTCTATCATCAGTTTAATGTTGTTATTATTATTATCTTTAATTAATTTTGTTTCCCTTTCTTATCTGTCTGTAAATATTACTCTGTAAGGGACCCCACTGCAAGCTCTCGAGCTTTCGTGGGTTATCCTGTTCAAGCTGACCTAATTTTGATCTGCTATTCTTGTTTTTTGGAAGCTTGGCAAATAATATTCATCTTTCATTATCATTATTGTAATCATCATTATTATTATTAGAAGTAGTATAGTAGTAGTATAGTGTAGTTATTATTGTTCTCAGTATTATTGTTATTATTATTAGTAGCATTTGTATTATTAGTAGTATTAGTATTGTTGTTATTAGTATTGTTATTATTATTGCTATTATTATTATCATGATTTTTACTATTATCATAATTATTATTATCATTACTATTATCATTATTATTATTATCATTATTATTATCATTATTTGTATCATATTTACAATAATTTATTTTCCAATCCTAGTCCACACAATTGACAGCACCTGGAGGCATCTGCGAACTGGCACTGGAGGCGAATGTGACCATGCAAAGAAGGGTAAAGAAAGATCGAAGAGTGGTGATAACAGTATCCAGCAAAAACAATGTGGAAACCCGCACTGTCGAGACGATAGAAAAGTATGAGAGTTCAACCAACTTCACGTGTACAATAATCTAAAACAGCTACATAATTTAGCTGGTTTGTCATTAAGCCTTAAAGGTACCATGTCCCATTTGCAAGCCAAAAAATGAAAAATGAAATTCCGCCGGCATTTAACAGATGAAACTAATTTAGAACTTCCCTCAAAACGAAAGGGCTTGAAAATGTCTTTTTGAGGAAAAATAACAACAGTTAGTTGTTGAATTAACTTTAGTGATTGCAATCCATTTAGTAATTAGAGGGTAATTGATGTAGACAAATGATCATGTACATGTACTTGTTACAGCTTTTTATGTATGTTATTACCAAAAGAAACAGAAGTCAACTAGTCACTTAATAGTGTATGACAATATGAAGTCCAGAAAGTAAACGGGTTTCCTTGCATAATTTGAATACTATAGGAGTCGGCCACTGCTAACGTTTAAATTTCACAGATATAGGAGATATACGTGACATATTTATAATTCCTGTAAAGTTCTACAGAATATAATACCTTTAAAACCTGATTAGAAAATCAGAGATAACGCGAAGACTCTATATGCAGGGCTATATACCCAGCCCTGATGTTAAGGGAAACTCACCAAGTACAGCTTCCTATATGGAGAAAGTTATTATAATCTGTGTACAGCGTTTAATATAAGCAGAGGTAATTCTATTACGACTCTGAGATATTGTCATGGTTCTTAGTATAGCTAGAGGGGCTCGCTCGAAGCGTGCCATTATAAAGGGTAGAATTTTAGGGTTGGAAAATAGATGCAAAGAGGAGGAAGGAGAGCTCCAATGGAGAACTCCTTTGGAAGTGAGTAGAGACGTTATATCACAAGAACGGCAAAGCTATGTAATGGATAATGGTTTTTTAACAGAAGGTATTATGAAGAGAGGTATATTTCAAGGGTGCCCTATTTCTCCGTAATTGTTTTTGTTTGATATTGAGATAATGGCTCTTTCTATACGTCAAAATGATCAAATTAAAGGTATTCCTATTGAAGATCAAGAGGCAAAGATTTCTTTATTTGCAGATGATTCGGTGTGTGATTTTTAGATGGATCAAATAACTCTTTTACTCAGCTTTTGGATACTTTGTCTAAATTTGGTCAGTATTCTGGTTGTAAAATCAATATCAATAAAACTGAAGCAGTTTGGATTGGATCCAAAAAGGGATGTCAACAATTCCCTCCCATTAATCTTGGTATTTCTTGGAAAAGAAATCTATTTAAATTTGTAGGGGTGAATCTATCTTTAAAATTAATGTTGACTCAATTTTTTAAATAAACTACAAAGATAAGTTGAAACGAATTAAACAAACCATTATTGTTGGCGAATGCGAAAAAGCTTTCTTTAATAGGTAAAGTTTGTGTGATTAAGACTCTTGTACTGCCCCATTGATATACCTTTTCTCTGCTCTTTGTATTAAAATCTCCTACCCCCTTTTTCAAAGAGTTGAATCAAATATTTTCAAGTTCATTTGGAATGGAGGCAGAGACATAGTTCAGAGAAAGGTCATGTGCAATGATTACAATCAGGCTGGTCTTAGTATGATTGACCCTTTCACCTTCTCTATAGCTCACAAGATGGTGTGGGTGAGAAATTTACTTGATGCTCTTTGGAAGGTTAATGAATTATCTTTTTTGAAAAATATAAATGAAGATGTCTTACTCCTATGGAAAGCTCAGTTTTGAGATCGCTGGGTAACATATAGTATTATAGTTAAGTGAATGACTACGTTCTTGGTATTTATTTAGAGAAAAGGCTACTATAGAATGTTATGATTCAAAATACTCTGAACTGAGTGGATGTCAGCTTCTTTGGTTCAACAGATCTATTCGTTCAAAATCTAAGCAATATTTTTATTTCCCATCCTGGTATGATAAAAATGTTTTTTTATTTCTGACTTATTCAACCCACCTCTTCTTATTGTTGGGGTTCATGATACAATAGTTTTTAAATTATTGAGTTTTAAACAAGTTCCTAAGAATGTTTATAGCTTATTACTTGGTCCTATAGCCCTGATAAGAGATATGCCTATTGGAATAACAGTTTACCAGTACCTCCTAACACTAACTGGGAAAAGGTCCATAATACAATGTTTTCTGCTCTATTGATACTAAAATTAGATCTTTTATTTAAAATTTTCCCACAGAGCAATTGCTTTGAATGATTTTCTAAGGAATCACCCAATTGTGCTCTATGTGACCAAAAAGAGGAAACAATGGTTCACTTATTTTGTGATTGTGACAAAGTTGTCCCAATTTAGCAAAATCTCCTCACAGTGATTCGCCAAAAATGTGAATCCAATTTCAATATTTCTAATTTGGAAAAAGTATTTGGAGTTTGTGGTGATAGATTCATCTCATTTTTATTTTTACTGCATGTTGAAATATCATATATACTGTTGTAAATTTGATGACAATGTTCCTGATTTTGTGTCCTTTAAATCCTTTGTGAAGAAACAGAAGGAAATTGAATATCACTAAGCCAAGAATACTTTAAAAAATGGCGTTTTGGTTTTTGGTTTTCTTTCCTTTCTTTGTTAATACCCCTCCCTCTTTTTGTATTAATTTTGTTTATTTTTGCAACCTCTCGAATACTGTACTCATGCAAAGAAAGTGTTACTTTTATGTAAACTGCCTTGTACATGCATTTCTGTTTATACCATTTGTCTGCCTTTTAAAAATATTTTTATATTTATTTTTGTATTTGTATTTTTAATAAACATTTCTTCACTTTATCAAATCTTGTAATTATGTGATTCTTATGGTTTGCTTTAATAAAACACACACAGAAAAAAGAACAAAGAAGAACGGCATTATACTCAGTATATAGCCTATGTCTTTAATTAAGATGATATTTGAATTTCTCCTCAAAGAAGAAAATGTTGTGGTATACTTCATGGAACCACATACAAAATATCAAAATGTGTCTTGTATCCTTTTTAAATTTTACATTTATGATATAATGTTAATTGCGCCACACTTAGACATGTGTAAAATTGATAAAGGTAGATGTAATAATGTTTATTTCTGAATGTTAATTTACTATTACCGGTCTTTGTGGTTTAACATTTACTTTATTACACTCTAAAAAAATCAAGAGATAATTTTAGCACCTCAAGATTTGGAGGCACCTGTAAGGGCACGCAAAGGGACTGCCCAATTGTGCTAAAGTAGCACTTGTGCACGTGCTATAATTCAACACCAGTCCAAGTGCTACTTTAAACACTTTAAGTGTAAGCCTGTTTACACTTCTGGTGCTAAAAACTACACTTCTAGTGCATTAAATAACCCCTTTTAGAGCCCCCAAAACGGCACTACTAGTATAACACTTTTGCACCTAAACGGTGCAAAAGTACACACACAAACAGCATGCACAAAATCACACCTGTAGTGCTGAAAACTCGCCCTTCTGTTAAACAGCCCAAACATTATTTCCAGCCTACTTTAAGCACCTAATAAATACCCCTCATGACCCCACAGTTTTTACTGTTACATTGAGATTGCACATTTCTATGTCAATTACATGCAGTGGTAGTCTTGCTATGTAGAATTTCTCATATCCCTGGTAGAATGTTGGAAAAGATGTATGGGACTACACAAATGGTGTCAGGGGCTACCAACCTAGATTTCCTTATCTCTCTATGCTCATTACTCAGCCAGTATACATTTTCTACCAAAATTGTTTGGAAAATGACATTTATTTGTAATCTTGAACCTTCAGTGTAAATTTCATTTGATTCTGTGAGAATTCATTTTCTTTTGTTTTACCAGAACTCAAATTTATCTTTAAAGATTCTTGCAGAGTCTAACTCTGTCGGTCTCTGGCTGTGTCATATACCAGTAAGATCAGCCACAGTGAAGGGCATATGGACTGCAGTCTCTGTATAGTCTCCTAGCTTAGAACCTCTGTAATGCATTACTCTGCCTGCAAACTAACCCTGGCCAGAGTAGAGACTGTCAAATTCAAATTCAGGAAAGGCGCAAGGTTAATCTAAGTGTCCAATTGTGAAGCGTCCAATAGTTTCTGTGCTCTAAGACTAAGGCTATTTGGAGGCATACAGAGGTTATACAGTGTACATACATGTAGTTCCTGGAATAGAATTACCATGAGCCATCATGCATATTCATGATAGGGACCATATCTCCAAGGGGCTACCCTTGAAGGTCTCATTGACCCAAAAATAGAACTGTTTTTACACATATTATATACCTTGTAATATCATGATTGATTAATAATTATCATCATTAAATCGCCACTGCAATTTAAAGATTAGCTTGAGTTCTGCATAAGGTAATGATACAAAATAAATTCTCACAGAATCCAACAAAACTCGCACTGAATGTTCAAGATTACAAGTAAATGATATGTGCCAAACGATTTTGGTAGAAAATGTATAGAGGCTGAGTAATTGGCTTCAAAGATTGTTCATCAAGCGGTAATTAAGTAGGTTACAATGCAATCTCATGACCGCAACTCAACTTTATCTTTATAATTAGTCTAATGATCACAGATTTTCCAGAGAGGGACATGAATTAAGAATGACACTGTACCATGATCTACTACAAAAATAAAATTACTCCTACAAGTTTCTTGAATTCAAAAATTTCTGTCTGATAAACCGGCACATGTACAGTGTGCATGTTCAGAAGAAAAACTATACACCAGTACTGAAAAAAAGCAATACAAATGTTGTGAATTTCCTTCTATTAAACATTACTCAAAGCACAATATTGCACTTTACCTGATAATATGAGTTCATAGGAAACATAAATATCACATATTGAGCAACGGAAGGGCATATGACACTGTTTGTGTTTTTAGTTAATGCCCTTCTGGCTCTACAATAGGCAACATATTAAAACTGCTCAGGAAACGAAACAAATATATACGATCAATGACCAATTCAACTTTGGGAAGCTCCGAAATAGCTCTGGTAATTCCAAAAAGGAGCCCTGATATAAAGAACAAAGTTACAAACAATCAAACAAACAAAAAAGAAAACAATAAATAGGCAAAAGAGAAACTAATTTGAATACAGCACGCCAAGAAAGAACTTCTACAAACATACATGTACATGTAGAATTGTAGATGTATTTTGTTTCGCCCCTAATCAGGGATATTGCCTGTTGAGAACAGAGAGTGCATGGAATCTGTTTTAAATTAAAGAGTTATGTACACTCTTTCGGCTCTCAACATTGATGATCGTGTCCTTGCTAAGCAGTAGTCATATTGGTAGTCTTTGGAGCACAGACATGTTTAGGAAGATATCTGTCTGAGCTGAATTCTTTCAGACATACCCCACACTTGTACGGCTTCTCGCCTGTATGCATGCGTACATGCTTGGTGAGGTCGCTCTTCCATCTGTACGTCTTGCAACATACCGTGCAGCTGTAAGGTCGCTCCCTGGTATGGACACGCATGTGGACAGTGAGGTTTCTTCGAGTACGGCAGGTTTTGTCGCACAGCTTGCAGGCGAATGGACGTTCACCTGTATGGATTCGCATGTGAACTGTCAGGTCTCCTTTTCGACTGAAGCTTCTCCCGCAGGTCTCGCAAGAAAAAGGCCTGATCCCGGTGTGGGTGCGGAGGTGATAAGTCAGATCCGAGCCTGCGCGGAACTCCTTGTGACATACCCAGCATTGGTACGGCTTCTCGCCTGTATGCATGCGTACATGCTTGATGAGGTTACTCTTGGATGTGTAAGTCTTGGGACATACAGTGCAGCTGTAGGGTCTCTCCCCGGTATGACCACGCATGTGGAGGGTGAGGCTTCTTTGTGTACTGCAGGTTTTGTCGCACAGCTTGCAGGCGAATGGACGTTCACCTGTATGGATTCGCATGTGAACTGTCAGGTCTCCTTTACGACCGAAGCTCCTCCCGCAGGTCTCGCAAGAAAAAGGCTTGATCCCGGTGTGGGTGCGGAGGTGATAAGTCAGGTGGGTCGCTTGGCTGAACGCTTTCTGGCAGACGGAGCATGCGAATGGCTTCTCACCCGTACGGCTACGCATGTGGCTTTTAAGGTGGCGTCTTTCGATAAAGCCCTTGTCGCAGACACTGCATTTGAATGGCCGCTCTGACGTGTGAACCTTCATGTGTGATTTTAAATGTATGGAAGATTTGAGGCATATCTTGCACTGCGAGAGTTGTTCTTCTTCATTCAGTGACGCCATTGCTGATGCGCAATGGTTCTGTGGCTGTTGGCAAGATGTTCCTTCCAACGCATTTGTCTCTTTGTTCTCTTTGGATACAAGATCTACTTGACAGTGAACAGCAATTCCTGATTCACGAATCATAGTCACACCCTTAGTAGAGGGTTTTACATCCAAACTCTCCCTGCCATTTACTTGAACCATGTCATTGGCTGGAGATCTTGGATTTGCATCAGATACATGTTGGCTTTGAAACTGTCTTGCACCCAGACCATCTTTCATCAGGTGATTAGTATCAGAAGCCTGTGATCCATAGAAATATCTTCTTTCCAGAGCACTTGCCTTTTTCCCATCTCTGCTCAAAAGATCTTCTGGATGAAAAATGGAAACCCTGGATTTGTGGGAAATCGACTTGATTCCACCAGAATGCTTTTCCCGCTGTGGCATTAACATATGTTTTCCTTTATTTTCAATTATCCATGGCTTTTGGTCAGGCGTCCTTTCACAGGTATTTGAAACCATGTTCTCTTCAGTCTCTTGGGTCGAAGGACCATCAAGGTCCTGAAGAGCAACCTGTGATTCTTGCATCATTGTAGTGCTTGCACCTGGTGCTTCCCGTTCCCCATATGGTGGCTCACAAGGGATCCAATCTGGAGGAGTCCTCCTAGAGTTCAGAGCTGGTGCATGAAGCTGGACACCTGCACAGGAATCCTGTGAGTTCTGTTCCTCTGTTGAAGAACCAAAGCCATGACCATCTCCAACACTGGTCCTTCCTGTCTGGGTGTCTAATTGACCTGGTGGTGAACATGACACAGGTTGATTGGCAGTAATACCGGACATCCTCTCTCATTTTTTTCTGCAATTAAGAGGGAAACAGATAAACATACATGAACAGTTAACAACTCAATTTTAAATCATACCCTTACAAGGCTTTAGTAATGTTCAAGTATGTGAAATATTTTATTTAGCCTGATTTATGTTTCTGGAGAATGTAACATACATGTAGTAGACGATGTCGACATTGTAGTAAGCTAACATCGAAAATTATTTAACAAAGGATCTAACTAAACCAGTCTACCGTTCATCCTTGAGTTACAAAGAAAAAAACATCAAATTTAGAAGAAGAATCAATAATTCATTTGTTAACTTTAAATCTGCATGTACATGTACATGTGTATGTTTTGACACGAGTCCCCAATGGCATATTTAGGGTTGTAGGTTGTAGGGTTGAGGTCACAACTAAGTTAGCAAACCTCATTGGAATAAGTGACATAGAATTTTCCTCGTAGTTTTGACCGACTTAGATCAAGATCTTGTCTTACCCTGCTGGTTGTGAGGTTCCACTGGTTCTTGTTTGACAGTGACAGTGATACCTGCCGAGCTCTCCATCGTCTAACTCACATCCACCAGCCCGTACTTGAACTTGAAGCACTACTGGATTGGAGACCTGTAATAAAATCATAAACAACAGGACAATGAGTAACTAAACTAGTCTAATTACAGGTGTGAAATATTATGGAGATAGATTAATAATGAAAAACAAAGGAAATCACAAATTAACTAAGATCCCTCGAGGCTTTTAGGTTCCACTTCTAGCTGTTTACTTCAGAGTCAGACTTCATTCAGACAATATTCTCCACTGCACGGCCCGCGTTCTATCTGGTCACCGCACCCTGTCCTACCCGACAGCTACGGGAGGGCCATTCTAACCTGTCCGTAGATCAACCCAAACTGCGCTGCATGCCACTTGCCGACAAGTTACGACTTAAATTGTACTCTTTTCCTACGTTTATATCGATCTCTTTTACTGCACACTCTTGCAATTGAATTCAAGTATCGCTCTTTTTATTGCAAACTTTCTACTTACCCTATTTCGGGGTTAGACTTGGTTCATTTCTTCTTCGAAGATATTTAATAGTAGTCTTGTTCTCAGACTATATAAATATGTAGACGCTACGTAGACGTCTACATATTTATATAGCCTGAGAAGAAGACTACTATTAAATTTGTAGGTTGGCCCAAAAATCTTCGAAGAAGAAATGAACCAAGTCTAAAATAACCACAAAATAGGGTAAGTAGAAGGTTTGAAATAAAAAGAGCGATACTTGAATTCAGGTGCAAGAGTGTGCAGTAAAAGAGAAAGATAGAAACGTAGATAAAAGAGTAAAATTTGAGTCGTATCTTGTCAGCAAGTTTGGTTAGATCGAGATCTACGGACAGTTTAGAACGGTCCTCCCGTAGCTGTCGGGTAGGACAGAGCTGCAGATCAGTGACCAGATCGAGAGCTCGCGGGCTGTGCGTGTGCAGAATAACTAGACCCCAGTCTAAATGAAGTCTGATTCTCAAATGAGAAGAGCTAGCTAGGGGCTTGAGGGATCTTAATTTGTGATTTCCTTTGTTTTTCATTATTAAAGAATCAATGGAAAAAGAATTATTTAAATAGGGTGTCTGAACGATTTTTCAATTTTCAATTTGGGATCGTTTTTCACCATTTTTGTTTGAAATTTGAATAAAAAATGTTATCAGAATAATACATTTCAAATTTCAAGTCTCACCGATGTTTCTATCAAAAGTTACAGCCCCTCCAACACGCTGGTATATTCATATCATTTTGGTCAAAATCGTCGAAAAAGACGTCCACGCAGAGTGATGTTGTTTTGCTAAATTTAGCCAAACAGCTGTATCGCGCGATATGCAAGCGTATGCATATCGTACGCATGCTGCTAAGCCAATCCGCGACTTGCAGCTTGAGCTACGCTGTCTCCGCGACATGTGCGATTGACTAGTATGGTTGGCGTTCGTCGCACAATAAACCCGGAAGTGAATGCACGTTATAGTCAATGGCAATATCGCGGAGACAACGCACGTTGTCTCCGCGATATTGCCATTGACTATAACGTGTATTCACTTCCGGGTTTATCGAGGGAATTTCCAACCATAATTTCAGTCACTTGAATTTGGGGTTTCGTTCGTGCGCGGAGATGTTACGCGATGTAACCATGGTTTGGACTGAGCGGAGCGCACGCCCCCTAATTAGCTGATCCACCAAATAGCGAGAAGGGTATTTTTAAACTGTTATCAGTTGTGATCCCTGGGGGCTAGCGAAAATATAATCACATAGAATTGTTCCTTAGGACTGGGACTACTTATCGATCGGGGCGTCATATCTCAAAAGTGACAAACCTCAGAGTTAGCCAGGACACAATGTTTAAATTGCTGTTTTGACCAAGATATTTTTAGAATTTCGGGGGCTACGCCCCTTTGGAAATATTGGAATTCACCTGCTCTTTCATATGACACCTCATTCATTGATTATCACCTTCAGGATCACAACTGATAAAGGTTTGAATCTCGATTTGAAAAAAAAAAATTGACTTTTTTTGCATGGTCGCGCAATGCACGTAGGCTGCATAGGGATGCGTGTAATCTCTATGGGAAGAATTTTAGCACACAACATCGGGTGCGCGATCAGTCTAGATCTAGACCCTAGTCTATAAAATAGAGTCTAGATCTAGATCTAGCAATATTATTATTACTATAGGCCTATTAGCAACTACCGGTAGACGTAGACCTAAACTTAAAGTGAGTTAAAGGCTAGATCTAGGCCTACCGGTAGTCTAGTTCTATAATCGCACATTTATTTTGGCGGCCAATGCATGGCCTGGAATAGCAACAAACTGACTTGTGGTGGCGCACTGGCCCTTTACAGTAGACCCTAATTAAAAAAGATATGACGGGTTCGGAGCAGTGACAACTCGCTTGTCGCGGAAGTTGTCGCTCATCTTCTTGGCAAAGACGGCTTTGTGAAATGACTTAGCTGACAAGCCGAGCTACAGTAGCGACAGAAGCGAGATGTCTTTGATCTTTTTGTAAAAAATTGTAGTCATGACGGTTTCGAGAAACGGCCCCCAGGCTGTTTATTTGTTTTTTCTTGGCTTTTTTGCCCAGATTTTTCTTCGAGTTTGACCAATTGAGGCATTGAGTGATTTCAAGTTCGATGTGTGTTTCGAGCAGCCAAGAGCTCTTACATTGGGCAAAAAATTTGCTGATGAAATTAAGAGCTCGATTGATACCGATATCAATATCGGTAGGCCTACTGTGCGCACTGACTTTGCCACACAGACTTGATTTCACGACGATGATTTAAAAATAGTTCATCAAGAGTTCAAGACTCAAGATATCATGAAAAGCACAGAATAAATTTACACTCACTTCTCTGGTCTTATAAAATAACTCATTTTACACAAAAGAATGTTTGGATCACATAGTGAAGGAGCTGTTTCTACTTCTACTTCTACTATCGTCAGACAATAAATTAGCGTCGTTCGTGCGTTGACTGTTGTGCGGGTATAACACTAACACCGAACTGGAAATCAACATTTGCTTAATCCCTAGGGTCTAGTGTTAGTGAATAGGACATTTGTACATAAAATATTAACACCACAACCACAAAGGTCGGTTCAGCAGACAATAATTTTGTAAAATCGATAACACTAGCTACCGGATGTTGACAATATTCAGTGGTCAAAGCCTTAACACCAGCTGATTTCCATTTCGGTGTTTAGGGCTGGTGTTCGTGTTTATTTAACACTAACACCAGCCCTTCACACCCAACTTGAAAATACTAATTGAGCTGACTGAGCTGCGTAAATTCCATTACTTTTCTTACATTATTGTGTAAAAGTTAGATACTAGTAGGCCTACTAGGCTGCCATTGACGGTAATGTTTTGAATTTGGTTTGTTTTCATGGATATTGGGCAGTGTTTTTGAAGACTACTGAAGTACTAGTATAATTCTCTAGTCTATTGAAATAAGCATGATGAGTAACTGACAGGTGTGAAATGTAGGACCCCAACAAAATGTCCATGTAATTTTCTGTTATAAATATTTAGGAAAAACAAGATTCAGAATCAGAGATACGCATACCCTGTAATCTATCTTCATAATATTTCTCACCTGTAAGTTACTCATTGTCCCGTTGTTTATGATTTCATGCAGGTCTCCAATCCAGTAGTGCTTCAATCGGACTGGCCTGGGCTGGTGGATGTGAGTTTAGACGATGGAGAGCTCGAATCTGGCAGGCATCGCCAGCACCACTGTTAAACAAGAACCAGTGGAACCTCACAACCAGCTTGGTAAGACAAGATCTTGATCTAAGTCTGTCGAAACTACTAGGAAATGTCTACATGTTGGTCACTTATTCTGATGACATAAAACATAAAACTAAATAAAATTAACCCTAACCCTATCCTTAAAGCACTCTCCTGATAATTAGTTGTGACCTCAACCCTACAACCTACAACCCTAAATATGCCATTGGGGACTCATGAATGTCAAAACATAATCATGTACATGTACATGCAGATTTAAAGTTAACAAATAAATTATTGATTCCTCTTCTAAATTTGATGTGTTTTTTCTTTGTAACTCAAGGATAAAAGGTAGACTGGTTTAATTAAATCCTTTGTTGAATAATTTTAGATTGCTATGTTACATTAATACATTCTCAAGAAACATAAATCAGGCCAAATGGAATATTTCACATACCGGTACTTACAAATTACAAAAGCTTTTGTAAGGGTATGATCAATAATAATAATAATAATAAAAACGTTACTTATAAAGCGCTTACCACCGAAGTCTCTAAGCGCTAAATTTAGTTGTTAATTGTACATGTATGTTTATTTTCTTATAGAAGATGAGAGAGGATGTCCGGTAAATGCCAATCAACCTGTGTCACACTCACCACCAGGTCAATCAAACATCAAGACAGGAAGGACCAGTGTTGGAAGAGATGGTCATGACTTTGGTTCTTCAACAGAGGAACAGAACTCACAGGATTCCTGCGCAGGTTTCCAGCTTCATGCACCGACTCTGAACCCTAGGAGGACGCCTCCAGACTGTATCCCTTGTGAGCCACCAGGTGCAAGCTCTACAATGATCCAAGAATCACAGGTTGCTCTTCAGGACCTTGATGGTCCTTCGACACAAGAGACTGAAGTGAGCATGGTTTCAAATATCTGTGAAAGGACGCCTGACCAAAAGCCATGGATAATTGGAAATAAAGGAGGACGTATTCTAATACCACAGCGGGAAAAGCATTCCGGTGGAATTGAGTCGATTTCCAACAAATCCAGGGTTTCCATTTCTCATCCAGAAGATCTTTTGAGCAGAGATGGGAAAGAAACAAGTGCTCTGGAAAGGAGATATTTTTATGGATCACAGGGTTCTGATACTAATCACCTGACGACAGATGGTCTGGGTGCAAGTGTCCTTGAAGGACAGCTTCATAGCCAACGTGTTCCTGATGCAAATCCAAGATCTCCAGGCATTGACATGATGCAAGCAAGTGACATAGAGTGTTTGGATGACAGACCTTCTGCTAAGGGTTTGACTATGATTCATGAGTCGGGAGTTGCTGTTCGCTGTCAAGAAGATCTTGTATCCCAAGAGGACACTGGGACATATGTTTTGGAAGGAACATCTTGTCAAAGGTCACAGAACCATTGCGCAGCAGCAACGGCGTCACTGAATGAAGAAGAACAACTCTCGCAGTGCAAGATATGCCTAAAATCTTTCATGCATCTAAAATCACATATGAAGGTTCACACTTCAGAGCGGCCATTCAAATGCAGTGTCTGCGACAAGGGCTTTATCGAAAGACGCCACCTTGAAAACCACATGCGTAGCCATACGGGTGAGAAGCCATTCGAATGCTCCGTCTGCCAGAAAGCATTTAGCCGCGCGACCCACCTGACTTATCATCTCCGCACCCACACCGGGATCAGGCCCTTTTCTTGCGAGACCTGCGGGAGGAGCTTTGGTCGTAAAGGAGACATGACAGTTCACATGCGAATCCATACAGGTGAACGTCCGTTCGCCTGCAAGCTGTGCGACAAAACCTGCAGTACGCAGAGCAACCTGACCCTTCACATGCGTGGCCATACTGGGGAGCGACCTTACAGCTGCACCGCATGTCCAAAGACGTTTAAATCGAAGAGCGACCTCATCAAGCATGTACGCATGCATACAGGCGAGAAGCCGTACCAGTGCGGGGTATGTCACAAGGAGTTCCGCGCAAGCTCGGATCTGACTCGGCACATGAGAGCCCACACCAACGAGAAACCGTACAAATGTGATGTATGTCTGAAAGAATTCAGCTCAGACTGTTATCTCCCTAAACATGTCTGTGCACCAAAGACTACCAATATGACTGATATGACTGATACTGATTAGCAAGGACATTCATCATTGTTGAGAGCCAGAAGAATGAAAAAACTCTTTAATTTAAAGGGATCGTTTAAAGGTATTACAAAGTTTTGGTATGGGGTCATGAATTTGGTTCAAATTAACATATTGGAAGCATATGCGTTCCTTCAATATTCATTGATCGTTGTCGCGGTTGAAATCGAGTCTAAAGTTATGAAATTATAAATAATTAACTCTTTATGTTGTATAGCTCCCTCTCAAGGTCAAGATTTTAATTTAGCTATGAAACAATGTTTCTTGACTAAAATCGACCGATTAGCTAATCCCATTTGGAAATTATATATCACAATTACATATTCTGAGATTTTCATGGTCGCAGCTCCCATTTCACGGCAATAGGCGCTATTTTAACTTTATCAAAATTTACCGGGAGCACCGGTAAATTTTTATATTCAATTTTTCTCGAAAACAGAGGTGTTTTAGGGGCTAATTTTTTTAGTGCTTATAATACATCCACAGGGGCATCCAAATATATAAAAATTGTAAAGATTCACTATCCACCCAATTTTCAAAATTTCCCAAAACTTTGTATTACCTTTAACAATGTTAAATCTGAGATACACGGTCCTACATGTTACCAGTGTCTGTGATATGGTGTAATATTGAAGCCCTAAAAAAATTGCGCTTCAAAATGATCAAGAAGTGCATCAAAATAGTAAAAATCTTTGAGTGACCGGTTTTACCATACTCGTTTTCCCCAAAATTTGTAAATCCAATCATTAATATCTTGATAAGCAGACAGGCGATCGGCTTGTAAAAGTCATGGAGTTCCTGACTGACCTAAAGGTTTATAATTATCATTGCAGCATGAGCTAAATCAAGGATTATTTCTAAAGGATCTAAGACAAAGTTACCGGATCCCTTTAAAACAGAGTTCATGCGCTCTTGGCTCTCAACAGGCAATATCTTGATTAGGGGCGAAACAAAATGCATCTAGAATTCTACATGTAGGCCTATGTTTGTAGAAGCTCTTGCTTGGTGTGCTGTATTGAAATTAGTTTCTCTTTTGCCAATTTGTTGTATTCTATTTGTTTGTAATTTGTTTGGTTCTTTATATACCAGAGCTCCTCTTTGGAATTACCAGAGCTTTTGATCCTACATATGTATCCCACCGCTGCCACCATGATGAGTTTGAGGGTGGAATGCTCTTCCACTGAATATTCATAACATCCAAAACTATGAAGTGTTGAATATTCATTAACATCCAAAACTATGAAGTGTTGAATATTCATAAACATCCAAAACTATGAAGTGTTGAATATTCATTAACATCCAAAACTTTAGTCTTGGATATTCATAAACATCCAAAAACATCCAAAATCGTTGAAACATTAAAGGTTCTTCTGCTGAATCAGGTCCAAGTGGGCTAGTTCATTTGTGGAAAGTTTTAGTTCTGACCAATTCATAAATTAATTTTTAATGTAATTAATGTGCTGTGTGACATACGGGACCAGAGAATTTCTGACTTTTTCAAAAATAAGTTCATCATAAAAGTTCTCTGAATTTATTAAGTTATGAGATTTATGGTAATGATATCTTAATTCATTATGGAATCAAGCATTAATCACAACTATTACCATATTTTTCTGACCTTTCGTTGTTATGTAATATACCAAAACATAAATGTGTGTATGTGACGTACGGGACACGTGACGTACGGGACAACTTTTCCGTATGGGAAAATGCATTGAAATGAAGAATGAAGATTAGAACATGTATATGTTGCTGTCATATATTCAAAAATTTAGATGTACATTAATGTAGCCTACAACATGTACATGTTTGTGAAAGATGGATACAAAAATATAAATCTTGAATGTATTTTGTATTGATTAAAGACATCTTATTAACACCACCAGATATAAGAAATTAAAACCCTAAAGGTTTGTGAGACCTTTTCCACAATTCAAAAGATTAATGCATGGGTGTAAAAGTGATAAAAATCTTAAGTGGGTGAGAGTGTGAAATACTCAAAAAGGCTATCCTTCCTTAAAAGTTATGATTTAGTTTTTAGGAGATCAAAATTCCCAAGCTGGCTCCATAACATGTACAGTGTATGCTGTAATCCTTTACCATCATAATATGACATTTAAATAGAATATCAAAAAAACCTCACATGGAGAGCTTGATAGCATACATGTGCTAAGATTCTTACCTGCAGCATCTATGAGTTGTAAAAGCCAGCTTCTGGTGCATCTACTACCATATAATTTCATTAGACTCATTCCAGGAACTAGTACACTATTATGATTTACATATTTAGCATCTTGCCAATGTTGGGGACATCAACTGGCAAAATACCAAAGTTGATAATACCAGGGTCTGGCTTGAAGACTAATTACATCGAATTCAGTACAAACAAGTAAATTCCTAGAAGGGACCCAGTTGAAATGTTCATATATCCCTGTATACAACAAGTTTCCTAACACAGTATATATTCTCCTTTTGGTCATTTCTTTTTCACATCTTGCATTGGTTTTATATGGGGTTGTCCCGTACGTCACACACTTGTCCCGTACGTCACATTTCTTAATTTGATTATGTAATCAACACAGAATTTTTGTAATTTTTGTTCAACCTATTTTTTGTTAGGTATTCATCTAAATTAGAACTTCCTAGAATATCTTTAAAAAAAAAAATATTTTCGTAATTAAAATTAAACAAATTGTGATCAAATTGTGACGTACGGGACATCACATTTTGGAACCTACCTCATTTGCATAATTAATTAATTTTTAAAGTTTTTATATTTTTTTCCTATTTTCTAGCATGATGGTCTACAATTCCTGAGATATTTAATTTTAAACAAATAATTCAAACGAGATACAAAAATAAAAATGTAATGTCCCGTACGTCACGCTAATTAATACAAATCGAAGTTCGTGACCTTGGCACTCGTCGTATTTTGATAATTTTTTTCTTTTTTATCAGATTCATAAAATTCATAGTTTCAGCTTTAAAATGAGGTATAGTTTGTTAAATATATATACAGATGAAATTTGACTCCCAGAGGGGACAATAGCTTGGACCTGCCCTTATTCAACATCCAATATCATTCAATCATTGCTGTTGAATATTCATAATATCAAAAACCATGAAATCATTAGACTTGAATATTCATAGATGTCCAGAACATTGAATAATTATTGTCTTCAATATTCATAAACCTCTTAACTCACTAAAATCATTTAAAGTTCTTCCATTATAAATAAATAACACCATCCGAAAACATTTATAATCAGGATGATAGAGAGTCGGCAGTCTGGTTTGTTATGGTAAACATGTTGTTGATTCAACTACAGCGGATACCGGATATTCGGATGTCGCATATCGTAACATTTATTTTCTTTCCTGAGCAGTATTAGTATGTTGTCTATGCCGAGTACCGATGCCATTCTGTTTCTCAATAGGTGATATTTATGTTTCTTGATTTCAAGGAAATGATTGGGGCTAATTGGCACCTACTTAAAGAGATCCGTAACTTTGTCTCAGATTCTGAAACAAAATCCTGGATTTAGCCCATGCTGCAATGATAATTATAAACCTTTAGGTCAGTCAGGACTTTTACAAGCAGATCGCCTGTCTAATTATCAGGATATTTATAATTGGAAATTAAAACCAAATATTGTGTTTTCCTAACGGTTTTCATAAAACTGCAGTATGGTGAAACCGGTCACTCAAAGATTTTTACTTTTTTGAGGCACTTCTTGATCATTTTGAAACACAATTTTTTTTTTTAGTGCTTCAATATTAAACCATATCACAGACACCGATAACACATAGGGCCGTGCATCTGAGATTTAACATTGTTAAACGATGCGTTTAAGGATGTGACAGGATGATTGAAGTACCGTTATTGAAGCTTTAAACAAAGTTTGATAGCAGTATTAAAACATTGCTTCTTGATCCTAGTGTTTGATGCAATCAGAGTTTTCCTTCAAAGTTTCAAGAAAGGTAATCACTCAGAGCCTCACTTGAAAACCAGCGAGTGAGTTATCCTTAACCCATTGCTTACTGGAACCTGGTGGCCTCTGTGTTAAGCCTATGGCAACAAATAAATTCAGTAGTCAACGAGTTAAGTGTCATCACAGAAAGATCCAATATTCTGGAAAGAGGAGATGGCACCCAAAAGATAAAGAATGAGAAAAGAAAAGTAAGAAGACAGAAAGAAAATGAAAGAAAAGACAAGGAAATTAGTAAATTAATGAATAAATGAATAAATAAATAAATTCCAAAGGTCAATAAAGAAAGAAATTAAGATAAAGAGAGACAGAAAAAAGCAGTGTTCAGGGGACGCTCATTTGAAATGGCGGATGCACAGCTCTTACATTAATTCTATCAAATTTGGTGCTTATAGAGGAAACTGGAGAAGCTTTAATATTTTTGCCATTTAATACAAGTATTAAACTCATATTATCAGGTTAAGTGCAATATTGTGATTTGAGTAATATTCATTTGAAGGACATTCACACCGGTTTCATGGCGTTATGTCAGTATATAGTTTTCTTCTACCGTATACATAATGTACACACTGTACATGTACATGTACATGTCAGACAGAAATTACTGAATTCAAGAAACTTCTAAGAGTTATTTATTTTTGTAGTAGCTTATGGTACAGTGTAATTATAAAAATTATGTCCCACTGTGGGAAATCTGTGATCATTTATTAATTAGACTAATTGAATCATAAAGATAAAGTTGAGTTCTGGTCATGCGATTGCATTGTGAACAAAATGTATAGCAAATACTGACTAAAGACTGCGACACACTTTTAGGCTCTGCAAGATTGAAGGAAGCAGAGTGTACCATAAAGTATAAGAAGACTCTGCTCAGACCCAGTGTTATGCATGCAGATAATTATCGCAGGGTGTACATCAACTACATGTATCTTCAATAGTGGACACATCTATATATGCTTAAGTCTACCTAGATGAACATTATCATAGGTTGGAAGTTTTAAGTCCCAAAGTCAACTCAGCATATCTTTGGGAACATATCAGTTTTGTAAAATACCCAGATAGATGTGAACTAATATTTGTATGTTTTATTTAATTAATCATTTGTTGGATATTAATTATATAAGATGAAATTATACAGAAAAAATGATGCACTCTAGTGGATACTTGTAATAGCTTAAATATAAGTTACCTGGAGTGAGAGAGGAGAGAGAACAAAAAATGAAGAGAAATAGAGGAGAGAGAGAGAGAGAGAGAGAGAGAGAAAGAGAGAGAGAGAGAGAGAAAGTAGAGGTAGGAGAGGGGAGAGAAAAAAAACTACAGGGTTTAGGAATTAAAATAATGAAAGAAAAAATCAAATGAATGAGGTTGATCGAGAGAGGGATAGAAGGAGGAGGTGAAAAAGAGATTGAAGGTGTTCAGAGATATTGGGAAAATAATGAAAGAAGAAATTAAAGCACAGAGAAGGGAGGGGCAGGAATCGTAATTAATTAAATAAAGAAAGGCTTAATTTAGAAGAACCTGTCAAGAGATTGATATGGGGACAGAGAGAGAGAGAGAGAGAGAGAGAGCTAGAGAGGGGATAACTAGAAAGATGGAAAATGGAGGGAGCAAGTGTGTGATACTGGAAATAAAGGTTGGACGCAAAGGGGGAGGGGGGGGATAAATAAATAAAATTAAATGTCGCCGTGTTGGGGAGGAAGGAAAGAGGCGGGGGAAGGGGAGAAAAACATGTTCAGTTAATTACGAGGCAACTTCATCTGACTTGATGATAAGGATTTTTGTTTTGTTTTGTTTTTATGTTTGAGTTTGTTTATACAAACATACACTTTTTAAAGGTCTGATACTTTTTTATACTACGTGTAGGCCTAGATATCTAAACTATTAAAACTGGCTAATACTAGCACGCGCGCGTCTGAGCTGAAGTTTGAGAAAGACTATTATCCACGAGCAGATCGAGGACCTCGCCCTTAAAGTTGGACGGTAAGAATGTCTGTTTTTTCGCCTCAGTTCGTCAATATTTTGTTCTTAATTCACTTTTATTGATATCAAAGATGAGGGTACGGTATGTATATATCTATCAATTTAATGGGAGCTAGAATTGTTCCTTGAATAGGTTGGAATCGGATAAATAGTACCAGCATAATCTCTAACTCTGAAGTCGATGTGTTTACATTGACTTTACTCAGTCCCATGTATTGATTTTGGCGTTTGTTACTAATATTATTGTTATGAATGGATCATTTTGAAATATTAAAAAGCAAGACGTGACGTGAAGTGCTGTATGAAATCAAATCATCTATTTTTAATGACACAGCACCAATACCATGTTCAAAGAATTATTAATTTCAGATGAATAGGTCTATAAATAGGAGGAGGAGGAGGAGGAGGAGGAGGAGGAGGAGGAAATGAATGATAAAGAAAGACAAAATGGAAGTAGGTCTAACAAGTTAGACCTATGATCAGGAGAAAAAAAAAATTAAACAAAATGAATATTAAAAACCTTGTGAACCTTCTGAATTTGGAGTCAGCAGGGCGGTATTCCGCATGTCGCTAACTTGTACTAGGGGGTGCAGGTGGACCACTACACCGGGGTTTTCCCCTACTCTTATACGAATAGTGCAGTGGGTTCTTATCGTGCAAAGGTAGTGACTCTTCTCTACACGGGGCCTCCATTTAACGTCCTATCCGAGGGACGGAGTGTTTTCCACTTGACATAACCTGCGTCTATGAACAAGGGAAGGGGCACGTTAACACACAACGCAGGCTTCAGTCATCCGCCTGGGTGGGAGTCGAACCCGGGATCTTTGGTTCGACAGACGGACGCTTTACCGACTGAGCCAACTCGCCTCCTCAGCCAACTCGCCTCCTCGAAGAAAATATTGAAGAGGAAGAAGATTGATTGTGGGCCTAGCAATAATTTTATGCCAGCGATTGCCAAACTTCCATTTACGTCTGAGTGGAGAGTAGCAAATACACATTTTTACTGTCATAATTAATCTTCTGACACTTCCCTATTCATTCTACCCATACAGAATTTAGACCCTTGCTGCTGAGGATTCCAGCTGATACCATCTCATCATGAGCTACCCCCCACCAGGTGGAGGAGGGTACCCCTACCCACCCGACGGTGGTGGCGCTTACCCCCCTCAACAGCCCCCTAATCAGGCTTACCCACCCCCAGGACCAGGAGGGGGCTACCCCCCTCCCCAAACAGGCGGAGCACAAGGGGCGTATCATCCCCAACCTTATCCTGGCTTAGGCGGTGGTTGTGTAAGTAATTTATTAATTTTTTTTTTTTTTTTTTTGGGGGGGGGGGGGGGGTTTAAATTATTCAGCTATTATTTTGCAAAGGAGTGTTGTGAAATATATTTTAAAGTTACATTTGCATATGTATTAACAGTAACAATTTATGCAAGTGATGATTATTTCATTATATTTGTTGTTGTTTGCTTTTTGAAATTTTGTTGTTGGGGCATTGGTCATTCAGATTTTGTTCATGGTTCACAAAACCCAGCCCCTCGTCTACACTGCAGGCTGAGACATGCTAACTGTTGCTATATCAGGAAATTATCCTACCTCCTTGAAATATATTACCGAGAACCCTCCAAGCTTTAGCTAAGCTGAGCCATGTTGGGAATCTTCAGTGACGAGAAAGAGAAAACTTCAAACCTTTTTCTTGGCAGTGAAAATCAGATTAAAACATAGTGGAGATGTTGTGTTATTGTGTTTCATTCACTTGAATTGATCCAAGGATCTAGGGTTTGAATCCAAACCCGGACTAATAATAATAATATCCTTTGGTAACCGGAGTGTTGGCTCAGTCAGTAGAGCGTCCGCCTCACAACCGGGAGGTCGTGGGTTCGAACCCCGGCCGCGTCATACCAAAAGACGTTAAAAGATGGGAGTTGTTGCTACCTTGTTTGGCGTTCAACAATAAGGGATAGAGCAACGTCAATCTGGCGCTGCTCAGTGGCTGCCGGGCTCACGATCAATTGGGCAAAAAGATTTTCCGTTTTGGTTTAATAAAATTTGGAGTGGACTATTAGGCTATTATTATTATTATTATTATTATTATTAAAACATCAATCCGCATTTGCTACTCTCCACTCAGACGTAAATGGGTACTTGGCAATCGCTGGCATAAAGTTATTGCTAGGCCCGCAGGAAGAACAGCACTGATTCGCTGATGAGGTTTTCCTAGGTAAACAAAATTATCGCTATATTTTTGTTTACAAAAGTTATTCTACTTGAAAAATATGTCATTTATGGTTCCTTTGTTTGTTGCGTGCAGATTCCCCCACCACAAATCCCACCCCAGGGCTACCCAGGACAAGTGCCATCATACCCCGCCCAGGGCCAAGTGCAGGTAATCAATCAATCAATTAAAAGATATTTGATACCGCGCCTTTTCCTTGCGGTTACAAAGCGCTGCAGTATGTAGTCACACCAACGAGACCGAGTCTGACAGACACCAAGGCATGAAACAAAGTTTCATGAAACTGTCGTAAGTACAAGTTCCCCTGCAGCCCATTGAAATGGGTGTATTAGAATTATAGCTTGTTTCAGTGGGATGTCGTGTGAACTTCTATACTTATGACTCTTTCCTGAAATGAGGCCCAGACGGATATCAAACCGAACAGAACAATTACATGTGCATTACATTTTTTTGTGTCAATTTTGATTTTTCATTTTTTCTTCTCCAGATGTCTTCTCATTCAAGAAACATTTCTATATATTCCAACTATGAAGAAGTGGAAAATATGATCAATTGTTGCTAACTTGAGGAGAGAAAACTTATTAATTCAGAAAATATGAAAAGTTTTAAATAGATTTGCATACTAACCTTCACTCTTAAAGCCCCACTGCACTACTTGTAGCTACTTGCTCCCTCTATATAGAAAACAATGCCTAAGCGGTGCCTGTTGGTCCCCCATGATCCTCTTTTTCTTATGATAATTGATAGCTGAGTTGATGAGATAACCACCTGTCAGTACCACACTGGGTGGTCTAATCCCTCCTGGCCAAACTAGTGCATACCGGCTTTAACAGACTTGGCTCAGACAAGCGGTAATTAGAGTTGCATTCTAGAGGATAAGTGTCTAGACAGTGAGTCACAAGGCAGAGGGTTCAAATCCCTGTCACAGTGCCGACATCTTTAGGGTTATTCCCCCCCCCCCCCCCCCCCCCCACTCAGTGTTATTTAGGGTACGCATATGCTATGTTACGGATTATTATGAGTATAATCATCATTATCATAATAATATAATAATAATATTCTGTTTTTATAAAGTGCCCAATACATTGATATAAAGATGTGTCTAAGGGCTTTACAGAGATATTATTACCCCGGTCATTGGATTCAGGCTTACCCGCACACAATGTATGCACATTCTATACTCCCTGGGGAGCATTCCAGCCAGTCGCCATGATGAGCATAATCGTTATCATTTTCATTATTATTATTTTTTGTCATTTACATTTTTCTATTTTCCACTCCTAGTACCCACAAGCTCCTGTCGGCTACCCTGGTGCGGCAGCACCTGGATACCCTGCTTCCGGTTCAGTGGGCGTGGTCGCTCACGGGAAGAAGAAGAAGAAACAGAAAAAGATGAAGAAACACAAGCACAAGCATGGCTCGTCATCCAGTTCATCCAGCTCTTCATCATCGTCGTCTTCAAGTTCTTCCAGCAGTGACTCGGACTGTAAAGGGCATGGTTATAAGGTGAAGGTGAAAAAACATAAGAAGAAGAAGCACAAGGACTTTCGATGAATGAACCATTTATAATAGAATCAAATTTAATGCATAAATCTTTGTTAAAGATGAAGTTGAGTTCTGGTCATGCGATTGCATTGTGAAAGAAACGGTGTGGAATCGACCAGAAAAGGTTGATCATCTGGCATATAAGTATTTGTGTGTATTGCAAGGTTCTGGAATCATCAAAATGATAAGAAATTTGGCCAAGTCTTAGTAAAGTTACAAACACTGTACACAGAAAGATGTATATGGGACTACACCAACACGTAGCGTAAAAATCTGTCCCGATTTTTACGATGTTACATGACATATTTAGAATATGAAGGCATTTGAAGAAACAAGTTTTATCTGATGTTCTTCCACACTTGCGTAATAACAATGAAAACGCTCACAATTTATTTTTCACCTCTTCCCAGAACTCAACCTTCTTTTTAAGTGCCATGTTTTAAATTCTTTCATTCACTTGTCATGAATAATTGTATTTCAATAGGTAGAATGCGAATTCATACCTTAATTTTTGCTTGGTAGGACAAACATTATGACATGTCCTACCAAGCAACAAGTAATAAGTGCAGTTCGCATTCTGGCTATTCAAAGTAACAGGTGAATGAAATAAAATGTACATGTAGCATGGCACTTAACAAACCATTAGGGTATGCATTAAATTTGATTACATTACAAAAATGGCCTATTTAGGTCCTGGTATAACTCGATCCTATGACACGAAAAGCGATCCAAATCATTTATTTTTAACTAGTAGTATTGGTGTAGATAGGGGATGTAGCATGCATAAGCATTTTTCTTTTTTTGGTGAAAAGTGACAAACTAGTAGACAATTGGATGAAATATGAGCAGATAAGGCTTTTCCTTTCTTGCTAGTTTCTTAACCTTCTCTGCTGCCTGGAACCAAATTTTGTCTGTATTAAGCCTATGGGAATTAGACAAATTCAGTAGTAGGGTTATGAATATTTCTTGCTTATTTTTTAACCTTTTTTCGACTGTAACTAGGTTTTGTCTGTATTCAACCTGTGGGAATAAGAAAATTCAGTAGGTCTAGTTGGGTAGCGTAATTTATTAATATACTCACTGGTGTGAATTAAGAGGCTGCTTTACTTTATCTGTATTCTTGTGTTATTTCTATTTGTTTTCTGTGAAGAAAGGGTTATGATTTAATGTTACAAGTCTACATTAGGATCATGGCTAACTTGGGAATAGGGACAACTCAGTGCAAGACCTTGGCAGAGTTGTCCAAGCTATAGCTGAATCAATCACAAATACTTGTGTGCTTTTTTTTATAAATTTTGCATCAAATAAATCTTTTAGAAGACCATGTTCAAGATTATTTGATATGATTGTGTAAAACTAGTTGAAAATTGCAGGAGTTAAAATTCTGCAAAGCATGAAATGTTCTGCTATTACGGGGCCTGGTGTGTACATGTAGCTTTTTTTCAATCCTGCGCAATGCCGGGTTTACCCCAGTGACAAGTTAGCGGCACCTTCTAGATCATTTTTTGCCCATTTCCATGAGAGACCGCCACTTGCTAGCAAAAGCATTAAGATGAGATTGATTCAGTTTATATATATATATATATATATATAAAAATTATATTGCAATAAAACTAACAGTACTCTTATAATAATCTTGTTTTTCTCTTTTCCATATTGTAGATCGAATATGAAAATATGTGCTAGAATTATCAACCTGTCAATAATTTAAATTTTCATATGTATTTTTATATCATGAATTGACAGGGGGTAAAATGAGAGGTGAGCAGTGTAGAAGATAGTTTCTTGACATTTTAGTGCTATCATTTCTACGTATATTATTTGCAGTATACAGGAATCTAGACTTATTTGATTGTATTATTTGTGAAAAGTCTTAAAATAATGTGCGTAAATTCTGTGTAGAACAGTGTTTCAAGAAATTTGCACTCTTCTTCTTGTGTATACATGTATGTAATAAGAAGCCAAAAAACGAATCAGTGAAAAATAATAAATAATTTATACATCTATTTAAATTATGATCATTTATCAGATTTATATTAATTTATAAATGAAGAATGCAGTACTAATGTGGGGAGTTTGTTGCTAATTTAAGCTTAGTGAATTCACAGTAATTTTTTCTGTATTCATAATTTTCAACCATTTGCTGTCAGAAGGAAAATTGTACATGACAATTTATACAAGGAATAATCAAATTCAACAGAAGTGTTATAGGCCTATATGTTCCTTTTTTCTGAGTGGATTGTATTGTCTAATAGTCAGACATGTTATATGAAACATAGTGCCAAATATAAACCAGGAGGTTATTAGGTTATATATTGTTATGTTCTTAAGAGGCTGCATTTTATAGAGTCAGGATCTCAACTTGTTCAACTCTGTTTAACTGATTATTGGCATGTTTACTACTACTACTACAACTATTACTATTACAGTACTACCACTGCTACTCAGTACTACTACCACTAGAAGTAGTAGTAGAAGTAGTAATAGGGACTTTTAAATTTGCTTGGACTGATACGTGTGACGTCCATTCAAGGCAGTGCATTAAAAGGACGTCGATCGTACCATAGACCTATTGTCTTCGTGCGAATCTAAAAGTCCCTAATGATACTAATACTGGTACTACTAATACTAATAATAATTATAATAATAACAGTAATGATAATAATGATGATGATCATGATTAATTAACAATAGTAATGATGGTAATATGAAAAGTTAAAAAAACATGTTGATGATGATGGTGATACTAAACAAACTATATTGATATTAATAGCAATAATAATAATAATAAGTTCTTGTACATTGCATATTCATGTTATATCAAGTGCCTCCAAACAGCTTTGGATTTGTATCTATGTATTTTCTGCTGCGACAGAAACATAAACTTTAATCTCAGATGTTGCTGTTAAATATAGGCTTATATAGTCTGGATCTTTCATGGTTAATATATTTTAAATTAAGAGAGAAGAACGCAACATTTTGTGTTTATTTTGTTTGTTTTGCATTATACTGAATTCATATTAAAAGGATGGAGACTGAGATTGGGGAGAGTAGGAGAGAGATAAGTGGAAAGTTCATGGAGAGAGAGAGAGAGAGAGAGAGAGAGAGAGAATCAAAATATTGTTCAGGGAGCTCTATACGATACAAGATTACAAAATAAATAGCACAAAATGATAATGATATTAAACTGAAATAAACCATAACGAAAAATAATCAGAATCATAAGATCGAGATAGATATGAAAAATGAATTAGGATAGAGAGTAATAATAGTTTTAATATTTGAATGAGACAGATGGGAAAAGGAAATACTCGAATGAGGGAAAGAGGAAAAAACTAAATTGAAAATGAGATAGAGAGAGAGAGAGAGAGAGATAGAAAGAATGAAAGAGAGAGAGAGAGAGAGAGATAAAGAGAGAGAGAGAGAGAGAGAGAGAGAGATAAAGAGGAGAGAGGGGGAACACATTCGTACACTCAAAGAACAAAGAATTCATAGAGAAAGGGGTGTGCTTAAAACTACATTTACATACCCACTATCCCGGAAATTACCCACAATGCAAATGGAAGAATCCATGGGGGAGGGCGTCCGAAGATTAAACAAAGAAATTAGGATTTAGGGTCTGAGGGCTAAACTATACCATTATCGATATGCTTCCGGTGTACGACGCAAAAAATTTAGGGCACTTTTCATCAAAAATTTCCACATTTATGGTAAGTGTTTTCGATCCCTTTTAGTTATAAAAGTGCAAGAAATATTTGGTGATAGTTTAGAAGAGTCGATTGTGTTGATTTTCGTCGTGTGGAATGTGTAATATTGTGTTGAATTTTGTGCGAGGCTGCCACGACGCCCCGCGGCCCCCGCACGCCTATGAAAACTGTTCATTGCACTATAGTATGGGCCTTGTGCGTGCATAGTGTGTGCAGTGCATGTATGAGCATATGATTTGGGCCTGCGTGTGTGTTCGTGTGTTGTTGGTGAATTGACATTGCCCACGCGATAATTTGTGTGAGTTGCTAGACGTGTTTTTGCGATTAAAATCCAGTCCATTCAATAATGCCAATATAATTCACATTATAAATATGATCTAGTGAATCTATACATAGAAATGATAGAATTTAAAATCTAGAATAGATTAACTCAAGTTAGATCACAAGAATATGGTCAGAAATCTGCAGTAAGCTCGGTCTCAGACTCTCGCTCAGCATGGGGGCCATTGCAAGCACATCCCCCCCCCCATTAATCTGATTATGATCTAGTATCTGCACTTCAGAAACTGGTTGGTCTTGAGCATTTGTCGTACATGAATTTGCAGAATTGCATTTAATTTGAGTATTCTATCCACATCGCCAGTGTAGAGTCATAATATCCAATCATTGCGCAGAGTTAGGTGGGAGGGGGGGGGGGGGGCCGGGGGGATGTTTAGCCTTCTTAAATTTGCTGGATGTAAAGTTTGACTAAAGCAAATTTTGCGCAAACACAAAATCACCAACTAAATACCGCTGTACATCATGGTTGATTAAATGTAGAATCAACATGTGTTTTTTTTTAAATTTACAGCAATATTTAGCCGCACCGTTTGAAAAAAAAAAAAAAATCCTTGATTTTGACTTAAATTTTTGATTTGAATTATTTTGTTTTTTCAGAAGCGTGGAATGCACAGCATCAATAATTTGAAATATTATTCTAATTCAAACTATTTGAAAAAACTTACCTTGATTTTTGTAAATGTAATTTTCTGTACCGCGGTAGTCTACTTTGTATTTCATTATTTTATATTTTAATATTCATGACTGAGCACTCCATCAATGTCTTTGAATCTATGGGAGAAATACAATTTTTTAACTATTTATTTCCGTCCATAAATAGAGTCTATTAATTTTTTTTTCAGCTAATCCATATGCTGGGAGAGTAATAATTATTTTGTTGTTAATGTATTATATTGTTCTATATTTAGTTGGTACTACTGATTCATTTATTTATTACATATTTTGGTTTTTCAGAAGCGTGGAATACACAGTATCGACAATTCAAATATTATTTTAATTCAAAATATTTTAAAAAACAATTACCTTCCTTTTTTTTTAAAGGTAAAGACGAGTTATGGTCATGCGATTGCATTGTGAAAGAAACGTGGAATCGATCATAAAAGGTTGATCATCTAGCATCTAGCATCTGCAAGGTTCTGGAATCATCAAAATGATAAGAAATTTGGCCCATTCTTCGTAAAGTTACAAGCACTATACACAGAAAGATGTATATGGGACTACCCTATATCTCTCACAGACCATGAGAGAAACAAATTTACCAAATATATGAATTAGTAGGCGGTTTCCCGGCAAATTTTTTATCATCATGTATTAGTCAAAAGGTGGACCTGTGCGCTATACAAGTAGCCACTATTATTATTATTATTAAAACATATTCTTTCACATGATTGGTAATGAGAGCTTCCATTTCATTTTTTGAAATTGGGGCGTTTCCAATACTGGTCTTTACCTTTAAGGTAATTTTCTGCAGTCTACTTTGTGTTTCATTATTTTATATTTTCATGTTCATGCTACTAACCACATCAATGTCTTTGAATCTAGTGGTGAAATACACATTTTTACCTTTTAGTACATTTCTTTTTCTATAAATTCATGCTGGGAGAGTAATATATTTGTTTTGCTAATGTATTTCTATTGTTCTATATTTATTTAGACTACCCTAGACCCATACTGATTCATTTATTTATTCTTTCATTTATTTATTACATATTTTGAAAATTGATTATGCAATTATTTTTCCTGGGGGCTTCTCTTTCTATATATATGCAGTCCTTATTATGATGATGTCAATTAAAATATGTACCCTTGAGCAATAGACTATAGAGTGGTGAAGTATGACGTCATAACATTAGGAACCAGAGCACTATATAACACTGAGTTCCCATAGGACATATATATATTCAGATGGTCAATATCTCAGCCAATACTTGACATATTCAATTGGTTTTCGACGTTCAGACATTATTTTTGATGCTCTTTCGGAAAATGAAGAAAAAATTGAGAAATTCTAAAAATAGATTTTTATGATGTCACAGCTTCGGTATAGCTGAGTGGACTATCGTCACATGCACAGTGTGTAGTGCATTTTTATTGTACCATATACACCTAATAGTACCGGTAGTCTGCTTGCACAGACTCTGATGCAACACTAAAATACAATTCAACAAAACCTTGAGCCAAGCCTAGCTCTGTCGGTCTCTTGCTGTTTCAGAAGCAGCTAAAGTAAATTACAAAGACTAGTGTGTCAACTGTGTAGTCAACAGACATGTAGTCTCACTGTTCAGACATTAATTGTCTTACTTGTGTACATGTGCATAGGGTTTGATTCCTGGAAACAAGAGTTGAGGTGTTGTGGTCTAGTGGATACGTCGCCAGACTGTGGATCACATGGTTCCTGGTTCAAGTCCTGCCTTGGCCCTGGCGTCCTTTAGCAAGACAGTTATCATCAATTGCCACACTCTACCCAGTGATGTAAATGGGTGCATGCCAGGAACGAATTCCTTGAAATGCTAGAGCGCCATAATGACAGCCATGCTTAAGCCCGGGTAATCATTGTAGAGTGCCAGGAGTGTTCAGAATGACATAGATATGTATGAGTGATATACAAGAACCCACTATTATTATTACACACAAAACTCTAATTTTGCAATCCTTAGCAAATACAGAGTTGACCCTTAATGCTTGACCTTTCCTAATAGATTCCAACCCAATGACTTATGAGAGATGACTTCATTGAGTTCAGCTGAACAGCTAGAAACAAAGGACGATGTACCACCTACTGTGACTCGGGAGCTGCAGTCAGAGGTCAAAGGTCAGTATAACCTCAGGAAAGCAAAGAAGTTAGATGGAACAACAGGGTTTGATACGGGTTGTTATGTCCAACTAAATCCAGATATTTACTCAAGACTCCCCAAAACATTGAAGCCACATTTCTATATTCTACATTTCGTTGGAAAACAGATTTATGGAGTGAATTAATAGATTTAGATGATGTGGGAATTAAAGTGCCCTGTAACCTCCTTTTTTTTGGAGCCCTTGGAGGAAAATAATGGAAAAAACATGCATCATAGGGTTAGAAAATATTAAAAATGAAATCCAGAAGAGGGCTCATGAATAGAGGAACTACCATGATTATTTACTATAGTAACCACTAACCAGAGCCGCCAACCTTTATGATTTAATTGTATTTAGTACGATTTTTAGAAGTAAATACGATAGTACAATTTTCCTCAATAAAATATGATTTTCAAAACAGAAAAATGTTAAGTATCGTACAAGCATCTCACATCGGCAAATTGGGGATGTTCATTGGTTCATTAGACACACCAGTCGTGACGAAATCATGCTTACATGTATTCAACAAATGATCAATACAAAAAATTCTTCCTGTATGTAGGAACTGTAAGAGGCATTTATCCATGTTTTTTCTTAAGAATACAATTTTTGTCAATAAAATACTACTTTTGGGATTAAAGAATACAGTTTTTGAACTCCAGAGGTAGACAGGTCTGAGTTACACATGTAATGTGCTGTTCTTTTCTTTCAGAACCTGCGCTACCTGTAGAGCAGAACTGTAGTATAAGCCCAGAGACAGAGGACGTGTTACATGATCATTTCCTACTGCCCTGTACAGTCAAAGTTAAGTGCGGCGGCTGCGGAAAGGAAGCCGAGGTTTTAAACCAAGACGACACCTCCCCGGACCTGACCGAATTCTCGTACATCTGCGACATCTGCAAGTCCCGCGCCCAGAAGAAGCTCCGCCTCCACCAGCTCATCAACGGCGGGACGTTCGCGGCGCAGGAACAACCGGATCGGACAGAGCCGAAGCGGAAGCACCCATGCCCGCACTGCTTTAAGGAATTCAACTCCCAGAAGGACATGAAAAGACATACAAACATCCATACAGGATTGAAACCATACGCGTGCGATACCTGCGGAAAGTCCTTCTCGCAGAGCTGCAGCCTGAAGCGCCATCTAGTGACGCACACAGACTCTAAGCCGCACCGCTGCGAGGTCTGCGGTCAGACGTTCAGGGGTCATCTGGCCCGGCATATGAGGAGCCATACAGGGGAGAAGCCGTTCACCTGCGAGATTTGCCAGAAAGGGTTCTACAGGAGCGAGCTTCTGAAGAGGCATTTGGCGGAGCATATGACAGACGGAAGTGTTTCCGGCTCTAAATCCAAGCTAGGTAAGACAGACCAGGTTTAGTCTGAAGGTTTGGGGCTATGATGCACAAATAACTCTTTGAAATTTGTTTATATAAATGAAGAAAGAAAGGAAGAGGAAGAAATTGATATGTTATCATACAGTTATTTATTTTAATTCCTTTACTCTTTTTCTCAATTGGAAATTTGTTGTAGGTACTCTGTGGCTAATGAGCAGTTTTATTATATTACAGTCAACCCTGTTTACTATATTAACATGCAGTCCCACCCAAGAAAAACAATGAATGAAGACTTTGTAGACTGGTAGCATTTCTAATAAGATTGGTAATATCAACCTGTCCGACAGTGCATTCGCATGTAATCAATGTCGAGCATCTTGAGATAATGTCTTTTTTATCCTTCACAGACGATATTTTTCAAAGGAGCCTGACCAAGCAGCATACCTGCTTGATCTGTGACAAAACATACACAAACAGTGGACACCTCGCAAGACACATGAAGCAACACAACAATGAGAATGTCCTGCGGTGCGGGGTATGCACCAAGGTGTTCTACGTCAAGGATGAACTCCAGGAACATCTGCAGGGCCACAGCAAAGAAGACCTGGCTGCAATCATCGCTGGCACACGTAAGATATCTCAATGATACCTACTTGAGTTATCATCTCTATAGAGGCTATCTGTCGATATACCCCAAATTATTATTGAATGAATTACAATACTTGGAATCCAGTCTGAATACATTATTTATTGCTACATTGTATGTAATATGCAATATGTCTCTTTTCCATTTAATTCATCAAAAAATGAAAAATATCTTGATATGATCCTGTAATAGTGTGAATGATACACAAAATAACCTGTAGTCAATGGTCAAACCATGAGATTTGTATTTGTAATGAAATGAATGAATAAATGTCAACATACGGACATGTTGCAAGATATTTCCTGTATTAAGTTTCTCTATATCTTTGTATTTGCAGTTGCAAACTTGCCTATGATGACCAATGGCAGCCCTCCCTCTCCTGAGGCTGAAGATGATCCGATAAAAGAAGAGCTTGCTCCTGAAGACGATACCCCGGCGGTCTTCCCTTCACAGGTAGGAGGGATGATTTAATACATTGCCTTTTCTGCGTGGTCAAGAATTGGTTCCATTTCTTAAGACCTGTTTTCATCGGACCGAAGTTGCAAAATAACCCGCTATTTTCAGATTGAAATTGCGTCTTCACCAGACCCATACGCTCATCACAAACTAGCTCATTATTTGTGAAAAAGCGGGCATTTGGAAACAAGGCCAAGATTTCTCGGTATATTTTCTTGACCAAATAGCTTGCTAATTGCAACTGCTGGCTTTCTTTTTACTTGTTTTTCCACTTGGAAACCAGTGCATCTTGTCATGGAATCGTAATAAGTGCAAGTTGGCAGATGCCTCATGAAAACTTGTATTCAAATTAAAACGTGTGATGAGGTGGCAGCAAATTTGTACAGTTTCATTAAAAACATGTCCTTGTACTAGTATTTGAAAATCTGATTTCCATTCTCGACGGTTCTTTCCTTTTTTCTGTCCATTTTCCATGATTGTAGAGGTCTGTGGTCTAGTGGATAAGTCTTTGGACTGTGGGTCACAGGGTCTGCGGTTCAAGTCCCGCCACGGCATTAATGCCCTTTGGCAAGATATTAATGTACATTTACCTCTCTCCACCCGGGATAACAGTTGGAGCGCCTTGAGCACCACGCATGGTGGATGTGTGCGCCATATACAAGTAAATATACAATATTATTATTATTGTGTAAAATGTGATTCCCTACACAGGACGCAGCTCCAGAGGAACACGCCTGCCTGGAGGACAAGGTGACCTGTGGCATCTGCGGTCATGCCTGCTGCTGTACCAACTACATCCCACTACACATGGAGAACCATGAAGAAACCATGGTCAACCACGAAGAGACCATGTTAGTCCAGTGCAGATCCTGCGGAATGGACTTTGCACCATCTGGTGCCAACAAAGGCTCCACGGTGAGAGAGTGCTTGGTTTCTTTAAAGCCCATCTGCTCTAGTCTGGCCAGGAGGGGTTAGATCTCCCTGCGTGGTCACTGGCAGGAGGCTATCTCATCCAATCAGCTCTCAATTAACATAAGAAAAAGGGGATCATGGGGTCCAGCAGGCACCGATTAGGCATTGTTTGCTATATAGAGGGCGCGAGTAGCTATAAGTAGTGCAGTGGGGCTTTAACAAACGATACCCCTATTGTGCTTGCTCTAGTGCCTCAAAGTAAATTTCTAGCGGTACAAAATTCTTACTTGAAATGTAGACCCAACACCACCGTACCTATTCCTTCCCTAATAGTTAAAATATGCAATCTTGGCTGTAAGCTTCCATCTTTAACATCATAAAGTCTGGAAAAAATGCCGCCGGGGCATAAGTCTGATCACGAAAATCATCAGACCCTGTTAAAAAATTGATCTGCTTTAATAATTCCTTTTAATGAAGAATTTGTATTTGATCCATATTGCATTTCCAGATCTGCAACGTCTGCAAGCCCGAACAAGCAGGAATGGGAGCACAACCAAAATCGGATGACATCCAAGACGATGAGGGAGACGAGGCCCAGGACGATGTCCAGGATGATGATGGACTCGCCGCAGGGGATGATGAGGAGAAGAGACACCAGTGCCTTGAATGCGACAAGACATACAAGTACATCAAGCACCTCAGGGAGCACGCTCGGATCCATGCTGGCGGGTACCGACCGTACAAGTGCCCCACCTGCAGCAAGACCTTCTCCAAGCGATACCACCTCAACAGGCACATGCTGATCCATGGTAGACATCAGCAAAGACAGCAGCAGAGCCAGTCCAAGACGCTCGCTGGAGTGAAGGGGAGAATCGGAAGGCCACCTCACACCATGGGAAGGCCACCTAACACCGTCGGAAGGCCACCTAACACCGTCGGAAGGCCACCCAAAACTGTAGGAAGGCCGCCACACACCGTGGGAAGGCCGCCACACGCCTTGGGAAGGCCGCCGCACACCGTGGGAAGGCCGCCGCACACCGTGGGAAGGCCGCCGCACACAGTGGGAAGGCCCGTGGGAAGGCCACCGCTGCAGCACGTCGTGAAGAAGGGGAGAGTCGGAAGGCCACGGCTCACTGATCGAAAGCCGCAGCTGACCGAGATGAAGCCGGTTGTTGCGGTTGCTGTCAATGTGTATGCAAGGCCGAAGCCACATTCTGGAGGCATGCCGTTTGTTTGCTCTGCCTGTGGGAAAGGGTTCCTGAAGAGGGTTCCCTTGAAGCGGCATCTGCTTAACCACCTTCAAGAAGGCACCATCCCTAAGGATCATCCGCAGATCAGTAAGTCAATTAGAATCATTATGTCTTTATGCCCAGTTTTATCAATCGCAACTATGTACATAAGAGATAGGAGACTGCTAATTTGTGATTGATTTGGATCAATCGCAACGCTTTGTAAAACAGGTCCCTGGTTACTTCGATCAAGAGAAACAAAAGAAATGCTGCCTGTCTATACAAGTGGTCCGGAATGCTGGTTTCACCTTATATCTGTCATTGTATACATACAGTGTACAGAGTGCACCTTCAAATACCCTTCACTGAAACCTGCTTGCAGGATAGCCACTTTAGCTGTATATATATTGGGAGATAATTGTTGATTGCAGGTCATACCAGCAGTCCCTGCAAGGAAAGTCCTAATTGAGCCATTCACATTGGTTTCTTGTTGCATAGATGGTCGTATAAATGTCTTTTCTTTTAAATAACAAAATAAACTCAATTAGCATTTCTGTGACATTAAAGAGAAGGTTGAGTTCTGGGAAGAGGTGAAATATAATTTGTGAGCATTATCGTTGTTATTATACAAGTATGGAAGAACATCAGATAAAAAGTGTTCCCTGAAAAGCATGGCTCTTCAAATGTCTTAATATTCTAAATATGGCATGTAACAGGATACAAATTGGGACGGATGCTCGTGTAGTCCCATATACATATTTCCGTTTACAGTGCTTGTAACCTAACCAAGACTGGGCCAAATTTCTTATAATTTTGATGATTCCAGAACCTTGCAGTACACACCAATACTTATATGCTAGATGATCAACCTTTTCTGATCGATTCCACACTGTTTCTTTAACAATGCAATCGCATGACCAGAACTCAACTTTATCTTTAAAGGCACGCTTTACTACTTCAGCTAGAAGGGATTAGACCACCCAGCGAGTCAGCGAGGTCACTGTGACAGGTGGCTATCTCATTAACTCAGCTCTCATTTAACATAATAAACAGAGGATCATGGGGGACCAACAGGCACCGATTGGGGAAGTTTTCTATATAGAGGGAGCAAGTAGCTACAAGTAGGACAGTGTGCCTTTAAACAAAAATGATTTGTGGACGGTAATTCCTTCTTTTTCTTGTCACTTTTAGATGAGATGAAGGTCAATTCCTACGTGAACGCCAACATGGGTGAAGCGCCCTCGCCCCAGCTCCAGACCTGTCCCATCTGCACCAAGGTCTGCAAAGGTCTCCATCTTTACCGACACATGAAGATACATTCCAAGGAAGAGATCGCAAAGGCCAAAGAGGGCGCAATAGGTTCCTCTTCCCCGCAGCTCCAGCAGCAGCAGCAGCAGCAGCACAAGAGGCCTCAGATGAAGATCTCGAGTAGGGAAGCTCAGGGCGAGATGGACTACGAGAAAGGTATGGAAGATGCTGTATCCCTCTTGCAGGCCCAAGATATAGAATTGTATGAATAGAGCGGTAATGGTGATTTTATTTACCCAAGGAAGCCTCATCAGTATCGATGCTTTTCTTTCTGAGGGTCATGCAATTATTATGATAACAATAAATATTTTCCGCTTTTATATAGTATTTCAATACATCTACGATTACTCCCTATCAATTACCATGTACCCATTGACACCTGGGTGAAGAGTGGGAAATGTGGATTAATGCCTTGCGAAAGGACATTTAGTGCCAGGCTAGGATTCAAACCCTCACCCCTTGGATTGGAAGTCACTTACAAGTGTATGAACCACTATACCACATAGAGGAATGTAATGTGTCTCATACATCATATCACATTTATATCTATGAATGGAAAATCTCTTGTTATGACTATTGCTAATGGTAGTGATACAGTCAAACCTGCTTTAGTGACCACCTGTCTACAAAGACCACCTGTCTACAACAAGCACATTTCTTGTTTCCTTTGGAAATGGTTTCTCATTGGAACCTGTCTACAAAGACCACTTTTTGTTTTTCCCTTGGGCGGTCGCTGTAGACAGGTTTGACTACACAAGAAAATATCGTTATTCAGTGGTCATATATCTAGAGAGTATTAATTTTTTATGAAATATGTGGAAGAAAGATTACACTGTATGTCGTACAGGACATGCAGCATGGAATCCCCCTTCAGCTAATTATTTGGCATGGATTGAAACCCTATACTATATCATTGTTGAGAGTCTGTGATTCATATACACTACATGTGATCAAATTTGATTTTAGTGGTCCGCTGTTTATTCCAGTATTCCCACAAAGCCTGTAAAGGGTTAAGGTCTGCACTCTGAATATTACCAATAATCAAACTGGAAAATGCTGTGGAGAAGATGATGTTTAATATGCTCTTTTTGTTCCATGTTGCGCTCAATTGATCTCTGTTTCTCCATTCCATTTACCCTCCCACCGTCTTCTCTCTTTCATCTCCTTGCCTTCTCTTTCTACCCTTCTTTCTCTCTCTATGTCTCGTCTTACACTGTCTCTGTATGTCTCGGTATATCCATCCCCCTCTCTCTTTCTCTATATCTCTCTCTACCCTCCTCTCTCGCTGTCTCTCTCTTTTTTTTTTCTCTCTCTCTCTCTCTCTTTTTTTTTCTCTCTCTCTCTCTATCCCCCTCTCTCCCCCTCTTTCTGTCTCTCTCTTTCTCTTGCTCTGTACAATCATTCCTACAACAGATGAGAGTCATTTTGACGGTGAAGATTCTGATGAAGAAAACATGGAGGATGAAGAAGAGGAAGAGGATGGTAATTGTCATTCGTTTTTTTCTTGAAGAATTTGTGCCTAGAGGTGTTTTTTTCTGGGGTTTAGTGTGTTTTAAGGGAACAACTTTTTAAAGATAGAAGTACCTTTCTGGCATTGATGAACTGCAAGCAATTCAGCTCTGAAAAGCCCCCAAATAGCTAAGGAATACTAAATTAATGTCTTGCAGAAAGCTGTGAAACTAAAAAAAAAAACGGCAATAAAGTAAGGGGGAAGAAGAACTAAAAAAAGAACTCTCTTGAACCGAGAGGTATTTTTCTTTCCACCGTTAAGAATTCTAATCCCCCATGCTTGTGATCCCACAATCATGACGTCACCAAGTTTAAAGATAGATTTAAAATACAATGCTAATGAGAGTTTTGTATTGTCTTCCGTTCTTCCAGGATCGATGTCCATGTTAAAGGATGGTGACCTCAATGTCAAGGAAGAACCACCTGAGGAGGTAAAGGAACACACGTGTCTAGAAGACAAGGTCACCTGCGGGATATGTGGACATAACTGCTGCTGCGCCAACTACATAACAGTCCATATGGAAATGCACAGCAATGAATCTGAGAACTGTGGCAAGTGTGGGAAGGAACTGGGTGATCTTCCATCCACCTATGTCAAAGGTGGACGCATCTGCAGCATCTGCGCTTCCCGCTCCAGGAAGCAGTTGCGCCTCCACCAGATTCTCCGGAACAGGGTGATCCCTTCGGATCTGCCCGCCGGCGTGACGAAGAAGCGCATTGAGTGCCCGCACTGCCCGAAGAGCTTCGTAGATCGCAAGTACTTCAGGGAGCATCTGCGGATCCATACGGGTGAGAAGCGCTACCACTGCTCCTTCTGCGGGATGGGCTTCGCGCACAGCCGCAACTTCAAGCGCCACGTCTGGAGGCACACTGGTGAGAAGCCCAACTGGTGCAACATCTGCAACAAGGGGATCGCTGGACACCTCGCGAGGCACATGCGCAGCCACTCCACCGAGAAGAGCTACGTCTGCAACATGTGCCACAAGGGTTTCAACCGCAGCGAGCATCTCAAGAGGCACTTGAAGACGCACCTTGGTATGCATGAGGAGTACCAGTGCCATCTCTGCTCCAAGAAGTACCTGCGGAAGGAGCACTTGAAGCGGCATGTGAGATCTCATGAAGATGGGACACTGACACAGCAGGGAGGAGCTGGCTCCAATGAACTTAGTCCAGGTACAGTGAAAACAATACACCGGGGCTCGGGGCGAAATATCCCCTGAAATGCCCAAAAGGGCCCGAAAATCAGAAAAGAACCCTGTAAATTTGCATAGAGTTCAATGCAAAACAAATTTTTTTTTCTTTTCAGTTAATGCACTCTTCTGTTTGTATCAGTTTGCATGTTTTACAGCTTCTTAAGTCTAAAAATACCACAACTAGTTTACTAGTCCACAGAATTACCTTTTAGAAATAATCAAAATTCAAACAAAACAAAATGAACATTAACTCAAATCAAACTTTTATAATACTCATTATGTATGCTTCGTATTTATTAAGTTGATATATTAAATGAAATTTCAATATTAAGCTCCTCTTATTTATAGCTAGGAATATCCATCACTCCTCAGCTTTTACTATGTTGTAAAATTAGTTAATTTTTGTTGATGTTATATAACATTCACTGTATATCTACATGTATGTACTTTTAATGCCCTGCATTTTCCAGTAAAATGGAATTGTCCTGGGCTATTGTTCTCCCTTGTTGTGCAAGTTTGAACAATAAAGTGATGTTAAAAAAAAAAAAAAAAAAAAAAAATCTTCTTCCCAATCAGAAAAAATATCTTAATGCTCTACAGGGCTTACCAGTAACATTTTATTGGGTCTGCAGGAAAAACCTGATGATACCCAGAAGCTACCCAACTTACATGTAGATGCAATTGTTCCAGTCCCCTCATTTTGGTTGACAAGGTCGTAGAAACAACCCTTCACTTTATTCTTGTTAAGGATTACTACAATAATTCAGTTTTGTATAGATCTTTATAGACATTATGAGGTGTATTGTATATCATTATTTCATCTTTTGTCCTTTTGCTTGGCCTGCAGTAGTCATGCCCGTTCGTCCACCAGTGAATGACCAGCCATACCGGGAGCATCCCTGCACATACAATGACGCTGTCTGTGGTCTTTGTGGTGACGCCTGCTGTTGCGCCAACTACCTTCCTTTCCACATGGAAGTGCATGGTGAGAAAGCCGAAGACTACATCGAAGGCGGCACCGTCAAGAAGGGCGCTACGCCGAGACAAGGTGGTGATGGTGAGAAGCCAGTCAGGGACCACTCCTGCACCTATGATCCTGTGACCTGCGGTCTCTGTGGGCAGGCATGCTGTTGTGCCAACTATATCCCCCTGCACATGGAGATTCATGGTGAGAAGGCGAAGGATCTTCCCAAAGACCACATCCTCAAGGACTCTGAAGGTGAAAGTCTGACGGAAGCCCATGAAGCACCCCAGATTGCAGGGAAACAAGTGAAAGGGCACCCTTGCTTGCAGTACAAGGTGAGCTGTGGCATTTGTGGTGATGTATGCTGTTGTACCAACTACATTCCTTTCCATATGGAGCAGCACAATGAGCAGGCTACAGAGTCCATCGGAGAGGATGATATCATCAAGAAAGCCCTAGATGCCTCCGACATTGCCTCCGACTGCGGAGACGATGTCAAACCACACCCTTGTACTCATGAACTAATCAGCTGTGGCATCTGTGGCGAGCCATGCTGTTGCCCCAACTACATTCCTTTCCATATGAAACTGCACAGCGAGGTGATGGACCAAGAGCCAATCTGCCAAGAGGAAGTCGCCTACGTTGCCAATCCAACAACTGTTACTGATCAAGATGTAGCTGATACAGCAGGTATTTATTCAAACTGGTTATTTGTCCATTTCATGGCCTTGTTTGTCACATCTTTGCTGACTTTTTGTCTGGTTTTCTATATGTCATTTACTCTTCCCTCTTCTTTTCTCCGTTCTCTTCTCTGCTTTCTCTTTACTACTTTTTCAATTCGCTTCTGAATTTCATGCATCACTGTCTGCTCCTTTAGGCCAATAACACAAGGATGTTCCATTTGAAACTTCACCTTTTCTTCTTTTATATCTATTTGTCATTTCAAGATGCTATTCAAATTGTCAGAGCTTCTGCAATAGAAACAGTACATGTAGTTGGAAGTGCCAGAAGCAATCACTCTTTAAAGCCCCACTGTACTACTTGTAGCTACATGCTCCCTTTACAGGTATATAGAAAACAATGCCTAAGCAGTGCCTGTTGGTCCCCCATGATCCTCTTTTTCTTATGTTAATTGAGAGCTGAGTTGATGAGATATCCACCTGTCAGTGAACACACTGGGTGGTCTAATCCTTCCTGGCAAAACTAGTGCAGAGGGGCTTTAAATGACGAGATATCCACCTGTCAGTGACCACACTGGGTGGTCTAATCCTTCCTGGCAAAACTAGTACAGACAGGCTTTAAGGTGAAGCACGATGATCCTCAACTAAAACTTCACCCATTTTACTTGTCATTCCTAGATGCTGTTCAAGAAGTCACATCTTCTGCAGTTGAAGCAGTAGAAGCAGTCCAAACCCCTGAGGCAGTTGAAGCGCCAAGAGCAGTGCCGACACTGGGGCCGAAAGAAGAAGCTTTCGAAAAACAGGTGGTGAATAATGGCAGTGCCGTCATGGAGGAACATGTGGAAGAATTTGACTGGGCCAGTGTTGCCAACTTCCTTCAAGGAACCCCTGAACCAGGTATGTGATTTTTTTTAACCTGGGCCCCTTTATACAAAACTTGTCATCAGTGACAAATGATAATTTTGTTAAAAGCTACTGAAATCCTTGCTTCTGATTGGTTATTAGCAGATTTGTCACTGATTTTGGTCATTTGTCATTGAAAAAAGGCTTTGCGAAACGCCCCCTGGGAAGAGCGTGAGCTCTAGGCAGAGAGTTTTCCACAGAAAAAGAGAAAGAGAAAGGGATAGAGCAACGTCGATCTGGCGCTGCTCAGTGGCTGCCGGGCTCACAATCAATTATTGGGCAAAAAGAATTTCTGTTTCGGTTTAATAAAATTTGGAGTGGACTAATTATTGGATCATTATTATTATTATTATTATTATTATTTGGTCCTGGCTCCATTTTTCAGAGGTATAGGGTTAGTGTTGCTGTAGAGGTTTAGGTTGAGATTAGGTAAGTTAGGTATAGAGCTTGGTCCAGGGTCTGAGTTCTAAATTTGTATAATTGATATGATAATATGGATAATAAGGAACTGACTGCAGTGATTATTGCCGGAGCATTTGATGTATACCAGAGGGGAAAAATGTAAGATGTCAAAGAAATTGTGCAAAGTATTTAACCATGATTGCTATTTTATATATATATATATATATATAATGTCTAGCAGTCAGTTATTGAAATATATTCAAAGGTTTTTAGGAGCTGGTATTTCAATATCAATGTTAAAACAGAAGTTGATTGTTCAAGTCACTCTCAGAAGGATAGGGTGAATTTACTTCCACTTGACTCTTTCTCAGCACTAATGTCCTTTGGCAAGACGTTGATCTACATTTGCCACTCTCAACTCGGGTGTTAAATGGGTACCTGGTACAATGCGAAAGTTAATATGGTTGGATTAGCAAGTGGCACTTGTAAAATGGCGATTGGCTGGAATGCTCCCCATGGAGTGAAAATGTGCATACATTGTGTTGCGGGTAAGCCTGAATTCAATGACGGGGGTAATAATATGTGCTGCGTGTAGAAACAAAGTATTGGCGCATTATAGATGTGGGCTATTATTATTATTATTTCTTCGCTAGACCCGTTGCCTGTTCCTCCACTCCTCGCCAGCGGAAGCAACGTTGAACCTTTAAACGGATCACCTATCAAGGAAGAGCCCTCCACAGCTAGTCATGTCGATGAACACCAGGTGACGACGGATCACGTGTGTCTTCAGGCCGAGGTGACCTGCGAGACCTGCGACAAGCTCCTGTGTTGCATCAACATCCTCATTCCGCACCTGGACACCCACAAGGTCATCAGCGTACGGTGCGAGCTCTGCCAACGGCACGTGGAGATGACCAAGACCGTCACGGTGCTCAAAGACGGGGTCAAGATCTACAAATGCGGGAGCTGCGTGATGGGCATCTCAATGATGTCGTCCAGCCCCTCCAGGACATCTCAGGTAAGAGCTGGTGAACCACGTGTCCTCGCAAAGAAGAGTATCCCGTGTCCACACTGCAGCAGGGTATTGAAGTGCCGCAAGGATTACACTCGCCACGTGAAGATCCATGCGGAATTCAAACCCTTCAAGTGCGACATCTGCGATAAGGAGTTTACGGCGATGGCCAACCTGAGGCGTCATCTGGACGCGCATGCCGGGGTGAAGCCACATGAATGTCAGATCTGCGGGCAGTACTTTAGTGGCCACATGGCTCGTCACATGAGGACCCACACAGGCGAGAAGAAGTACAGCTGTGAGATCTGCAAAAAGGGATTCCAACGCTTGGAGCATCTGAAGAGACATCTGTGGCAGCATGTCAAGGATGGACAGGCCACCAGCTCCCATAAACAGCTACGTGAGTAGAAAGCAAAGATTCATCCAGCCTTCTAGCCATTATCCCTTGTCGTAGTAACTCAGTGTACCAAAGTCTCAACTGTGCCAAAGTCTGTAGATTGTGCATTCATGTAGCTTTAGCCGGCATGTGCTTCAAGATGGTGTCTTCCAGTTTGGTGGCGTAGGGAACTAACGTTCAAGACTCTATAAAACTAACAAGCTTTAGCCGGCATGTGCTTCAAGGTGGTCACTTCAGGTTTGGTGGGGTAGTGAATTCTTCTTTAAACTAACGTTTAATAGTCTAAGAAACTAACATAGCTTTAGCCGGCATGCGCTTCAAGAGAAATCTTGTTTACGCTAACGTTTGAGACTTGATAAAACTAACCATCCTTCTCGCTGTGATGTTTGCATGCTATTTACATTCATGCTTATATACCAAAGACTTCATAACATAACATCATTTGTCCCATTTGTTTAGTTTCCCCCGGAATGAGATTTTGTTGTGTATTAAACAATTCAACGAAAGAAAAAAGAAAGATCATACAAAAACAAACCTAAAAAAATTCTAAAAACATGTGTATTGTACTTTATTTTTTTTTAAAATTTGTCCTCTGTGAAGAGGCAGTCATTTTGTGACAATTTCAAATATTTCCAGTAATCAAAGGAATTTTTGTTTCATTCTCTGGAACTCAAACAAATTTCAATTTTTTTTTCTTCCCCCTATTTTCATAGTTGTGTTCATACCTTCTTACTTGTTTGTTATTATTTATGCAAATTTACATAAATGGTTTTTTTATATCCATCTTTTTTTTTTATTGCAATATAATACCATGTTCATTTACTCTTCTGCTGCATGATCAGTGCCTTATATATTTTGCTGAATATTTACAGGGTTGTGTTTTGTTTTGTTTGTTGTTGTTTTAGTATTATTGGCGTGTATCATTCATTTAAGAATATTTACGCCCACGTTTTGTGTGGTGTTCTATTCAGTCCTCGAAAGTTGTCATATTTCAGTTCATTTGGATACATTTTGTGATGACTATCCTATCACATCGATTGCTACAAGGTTTTTTTTTTTAATGAAAAAAATGCAAAGGTGACCAATCACTCGAAAAAAAAGTCTTGGTAAAGCTTTTATCTTTGTCATTATTATGAACCTACAAATCCGTACAGTATCGCTTGAAATAAAGTAGACACTCTCACACTGTGTCACGCATAACTGCATGTATTATTCCATAGACTGGTGTGACTTGGTGTTTATATGTCTACTTTATTTCAAACAATACAGTATATATTGCTGTTCAGATTCATCTGTTCATAATAATGTATGAGGTCACTTCCAAAAAGTGTATCCAGTTTTCACATTACCTTGGTAGAGTGAAAGGAAAAGGATGCATGGTACCTAAACCTAAACGCATCTTGTGTGTGTTGGGTTTTCAAAGTGTCCTTATCCCATTGAAACGTCAGTTATTCTAAAACACCTGTTTCAATGAGGTATCCTTTTAGGCTGTTATGACAGTTCAGCCTAAAAAAAAAGATGTTTTATTGCCCTTTAGGTACCAAAACATGGGTCGATCGGTCAGAGTTTTTTTTTTTTTTAAACTTTTTATATATTTTTTTTCTCCCTCTTTGGGCTGATATTTCTCACTTTTGAATGCTTTAATATTTGTTTTCTCTAAAAAACGGTAAAAAAAAAAAGAAAAGAAAAAAGCTGAGCATCAATTTCAAGATTTTTGGATCGGTCGCAAAGGGCAACACAACATTTTTTTTTTGTAGGCCTTATGACAAACAGGCCCGGTTTCCTTTTATTACCTGAATATCACAACTCATTATGGTGACAAATAATTGTGTTTTTTGCTTTTTCTTGTCTCAGTTGAACTAGGCATCACGGCGGACACTCCGCCACCGAGCGAGGCGGCGCCATCTAAGCCCAACTGGTGCCATATCTGCGAGAAGGTGATCCCGGGACGCCTTGCCCGGCATATGATAACACACAGTGGCGTGAAACCCTACCAGTGCAGCGAATGCCCCAAGGCTTTCTTCCGCTACGAGCACCTGAAGAGGCATCTTGAAATGCACTCCAGGAATAAACAATATACAGGTGTAGTCAACACCCTGAAGGGTCAATAGGTCAAGTGAATCCTTACTTTAAACCAATTCCTACATCTTACATGTTTTATCCCGAAGTACAACCTAAGCGAGAAGACGAGAAGACTTTCCTTCAGTGAGAACATCTGGAGGGTGTTTCACAAATGTTGTCATCAGTGACAAATGACAGTTTTTGTTATAAGCTACTGAAATCCTTGCTTCTGATTGGTTATCAGCAGATTTGTCACTGATTTTTATCGTTTGTCATTGAGAAAAGGCTTTGTGAAACGGGTCCCTGGAGAAGGTATCTAGAAATCCATGATCAGAGAGCACAACTTGCTAGAATGCTGTCAATACCTGAAAGTGAAAGCAATTCCATCACTGTACATGTTTTATCCCGAAGTACAACCTATGCGAGGAGACTTTTCTTCAGTGAGAATATCTGGAGAAACATCTGGAAGTCTTAGCTCTGTGAGGACAATTTACCGCGGAGCAGCAAACACCCTGAAGACGTGAAACCAATTCCTTCACTGTACATATTTTATCCCGAAGTATAACCTATAAGACGAGACTTTTCTTCTGTGGGAAAATCTACAACTCCATGTCCAGAGAGGACAATTTACAGGGGTGCTGTCGACACCCTGAAGTGAAACTAATTCTTTTAACCATATGTGTTTAATCCAAGATTACCACCTTATAGACAAGACTTTCCTTCAGCAAGAACATCTGGAGAAACATATGGAAGTCAAAGCTCGGAGGGGACAATTTCATGATGTAACAATGGGTTCCGGAATTTGGTGGTTGCATTTCTCAAGATTTGAACTACATCGTAATCCAGGGCCCCCGTCTTTATACAAAGAGTCAATCGCAACTATATAGATAGGAGACTGCAAACTTGCGATTGATTGGAGTACTTACGATTGATTTGGATTGATCGTAACTCTTTGTAAGACTGGTCCTTGACCCGTCATTGACATTCAACCAAAGGGTTGATGGCCATAAGCACCAGTGCTGGTATTGAATCCAATGCTTATGTCAGAAATGAGAGTATTTTACTAGGTTTCTGGCTAAGATAAATACTTACAATGTATTGAATGTAGCCAAATTTGAAATACATACTACACCATTTACATGTATATATGTTTATCTTTATATAGATGTAGGAAGCATTAAAGTGTAAAAGATTTAAAGGAAAGTTATTGTTGCTTTATATGTTGAAAATTCAATTTTCCTTTGTGACGCAAAAAAAGAAAAGAATTTAAGGTTGGAGCCCTTAATTAATATGGCTTCTTGAGTTTTGTGTTCTTGTTCTTCTTCTTGTTCTAGAGGCAAAGGTCTGGCTACGGACGTTGAGATAAGAGAAGTGAAAAGTGCCAAGCTGACGCAAAGTAACATCAAAATTCCTTAATTGCTGCAAAAAAGTAACATTATAGTTGTGCCCAAAACATTTTAATGTTCAGAGTGGATGATGTGATATTAAATATTTCCGTGACATTATTGAACAGTGTTTTATAGACATGGAAATTACATTTGTGGGCCACTTTCAAGGAATGCAAGTCGTTACCGATTATTTTACATGAACAGCCTCTTATGAAAGCTACTGTTTAATTATTTAAAGAGAAAGCATTTTTCATATGTATCACGCCATATAAGACACTAAAAAATAAGAGTTGAATGGAGAAATCAATGAAAAATTCCAGTAAATGTTGGTACGTCTGTATTATTTATCTTTCTGTAGGATAATATGCTTAATTATTTAATTCATAAATCATAACTGAACATCTGTAATTTCTGTGTAATCCAGCATAAAATTTTATTCTTTGTAGTGCACTATCATCAAAGTTTCATGAAATTAATTTTACGTAGCAAAAAGAATAATGTGATGTTTAACCACATTAAAATTTAATTGTGACTTCATTTTGTGTAGAATATTCAATATCGTATAATTTCTCTTGGTCATACAGTTAATTTGTCTATCTTTTGTTCCAAATCTTGAGCAAAACAAATATTTGTGTCCATTTTCCTGTCTTCCCCCCCCCCCCCCCCCACCCATGAGAAAAATATAACAATAGACTAGTTTTTTTCAAAGGAAATACCATTGGAATATATAGAGAAAATAGCCAAAATATATTTGTTTGCATGTGAAAAAAGACCAGGGAGGGAATGTGTGCTTGTATCTCATCTGCTCACAAAGAGCCCTGTTAGATGGAAAAGTATATTTGACAAAGATTAGGGTCAAAGATTATACTTACTTGTAAAGAATTGGTGTACATGTTTTCTTTATTTTTCCATATGCATGTACATATTATGTTCATTGATTATTGGATTGTTTTGCTGAAAAATGTTGCATTCATTATTAAAAAATATTGAATTCACTATTTGTTTGTTGGGGTTGTCTTTAATAACAAATATTGTAATATTGTTCCATCTACACACTGGTCTATTTCCTACTACTTAGCAGCATGTTGCCTTGTGTATATTGTGTGTTAGACCATTATGTATATTTTAAAAAACAGTTTATTATACAAAATGTGTAATTCAATTCATTCTTCTATATATTTCCCCCTGAATTTAAAGAACAAACTACCTCTCGAGAACAGTTACCTTGTAAAAATGTTATTGATTTTCTCATGTCTCATATACTTGTTGTTTCTTGTCCTTTCTGCTATCTTTTTACCTCTATTTCCTCTTTCTTTTCATGCTCCCTTTTATGTCTTAACCTCATTCCTTATTTTCAGTTGTACAAATGTACTTTATTCATTCGTCTTGTATTTATTTGTCGATCAATATATTCCATTCGCTCATTTTTAAATTGATTTGTATAGTGAATTCATAGTATCAAGAAATTTGAGAAGTTCTTTCTTTATTTTACTTTTCTTTTTGCATACTCTAAGAACCTGTAGTTGAGCCATTGTATGTAGTTTGTATTACAGTGGCACAGAATGAAAACCCCATTTCAAAGTTCATACAACTACTCTCTTGCCAGTTGCCACGCCTAATATTGTGTCTCAGCTAATAAGACAAGTTCAAGGACTTTGCCACAAATGTTTATATTAACAACAACAATGATAATGATGGGTTCTTGTAGAGACTTTAACAAAATGTTGATCCTTCATATACAAGTAGAAGGGCATGTACCCAAACTTTGTTCAATTTATAATCAAGCATTAGTTTGGTCTAGGTCAGGCAGGCCTCTAGCAAGCTCTTGAGTCATTTTAGGTAACTATTGTGCAGGCATTATGCCTTAAGTTTGAGTATATACATGAACTGATCTACTTTGAGGTGAAGGCAAGTGCAGAATATTATTCCATGGAATTGTTACAGATTTATTAACTTTGATGCATGGTAGTTAATTTTAAAAAGCTCATGCATATTTAATCTTATGAAAATTCATGTAAAAGACTGGTTAGATATCTCTTTGTGTATAAATATGTCATTCTACATTTGTTTATAGGCATATTAATCTGATGAATATTCATGTGAAAGACTGGTTGTTCATGCATATTAACCTGATGAATATGTATGTGAAATACTGGTTGTTCATGCATATTAATCTGATGAATATTCATGTAAAAGACTGGTGGTATAATTTTGTCATTTTATATTTGTTCACACTACAGGCACCCATAACCAAGATTTAGGCACTGAACAGCAGAGACTGTCATTTGATGTTTTATTTTGATATGTACTCAGAATTACCAAGTTACATGTAAATTGTGAAGTAATAGAGAAAGTTGATTTTTGTATTGTAGTAATGAGATTGTGAATATTGTGCTGATTTGTTGATTTATTTAGCATTAAAAGAGAAGTTATTTCTGACATTTTGTGCACTTAGATTCATAATTCATGTCAAATGGGTTCAGAGCGAGGTTAAGTGAATGAAAAAAGTTTGATTGTAATCATCTGGACATATTAAAGTGCCACAGAGAGAGAGTGGGGTGTAAAAGAGTGAAAAGAGAGAGAGAGAGAGAGAGAGAAAGAGAGATGATAAAAGAGAGGAAGGGAGAGAAAAGGGGAGGGTTTGAGGGAGTAGAAGTTTATAGAAAATAAAAAGAGAAGTCCAGTAAGAAAGCGAGAGTATGAAAAGAAAAACGAGAGTACAGAAAATAAGAAGAGATGGTGTTGGAGGGAAAGGACCCCAGCTCAAATCAAGTCCAGTCTTAAATATAATATGAATGGGATCGTCTCTAAAGTGCTTGGACACATCGAAAGTGTATTGAGCGCTATATAAACCAAATTGTTATAGTAATTATTAATCTTGGGCACAAATTCCAATATTCCACAGAAAATTTAAAAATCCAGAGGCAATTATATAATAGGAAAACCTGTGTTGCAAGAGAAGTTATATTTGTCCGATTTATGTTTTTTAAAAAAATTATTTAAACCACAATGGGCTGTGTACCCTGCTTATCATCTGGTGTTTGTAACTTTTTATATTTTTACGATTTGCAATATTGTATTATATATATTTATATCTTTTAAATTTACTTATAAAATATCAACAATTTAGCAACTGGCTGCTAATCATGTTCAGTATTACATTATACCATGAATAATTACACATTGCAAATGCAAATTGGCTACATTTAGAGAATCAACCACGCCCCCCTTGAGTAAAAAAAAAGAAAAGAAAAGAGGATTCGGGGCAAAAAAATTGCATCTAACAACATTCCCCCCTTTTGAGTAACGAAAATTGGGAAATAATAGGGACGAATACCGTACCATAGATAAAATAAGGGAAAAATCAGGAAGAAAAATACAAGAACAAAACAAACAAGTTTTGTACAAGTCATATTCATTTTTCTTCTCAAGGAATCTATATTCCTTCAATCCATATTTATTTTTCTTGCATTAAAGATTGCCATGCATACAGATAGGTATATTCATTCCTTGAATAAATACATATATACAGAGTATAGCTAGAAAATAAAGCACCATCTTTCGTCCGCACTATACTACAAGTAAAAAAGAAAAATCACCCCACACATTAAATATTCAACAATACACAATACGTAAAGAATTACCGGTAGGCTGCTTATTCAAACGTGACACTTCCATATTGAAAGGCTCACAGAAAATTACATTCTGCTGCTCCAAACAACAATATTTCACATATCAAATCTACACGCATCAACTATTGCTAGGTTAGATACACCTCTAGCAAGCCTTTAAACCTCTAGGAAACCTTGTAGACCCACACTGGTTCTTGCCAAAGCATACTAAAGAGACATCGAGAAATATATAATAATATTCCATTTATTGTCTTCGAAAAATTGGCAACAGAATAACCTTACTTTTGCCTATAACGTACACCTCGAAGCAAACAAATAAATACATAAATACTAGTAATACTATTCTTTGCATCGTTCGATTTCATGAGCAGAGAAGAAAATAACGATGTATCTTACGCTTTGAGCAAAAGCACACTGATAACCATGCAAATTTTGGAAAACGGCACCTCATGGTTTTCAAAAAGCACCTGAAGGACGATAACGTTTGTGTCAATACCTCATGCAAAGGGTTGCGAGAAAGCTCTTTCAATTTCCTATATTGTACCCCACTCGAGGCCATTCAATACTATACCGGTAAATATTAACAAACTAACTCAAAACAATGGTTCAGCGAAATACCCAACATGTAACCTGCAAGGCAGTATCTAACAATAAATATATCTCACCATTTCTAAATCAATAATTCAGTCTAAATTAAACAACTAAATTATTCATAACATTACCAAGATTTTTAATTTACTATTATCAATAAGTATGTAAAAAATTGATTTGTCCAGATTTGTATTTATTGAGAATGTGACATATTTACATTTAAAAGTATTCGATAAAGGCCCTAATTCCACCAATTCATGTTCCTTTCTTGAAATACACAAAAAACATCAAATTTACAGGGGTATGAATAATTTAGTTCTTACTGTATGTGAAAAATCAAACTATGTATGAAAGTGTTAGCTGTGCAATTTTGTGACAATTTATCTTGATCTTGCAAGGATCATTTCATGAGGTTGGGGCAAATCGAGACCACCAAACTAACCCATCACTTTTAGTGTTAAAGGTACTATGTCCCTTTTGCAGCCAACCTCAAATTCTGTAAAACTTTGCAGGAATTATGAATATGTCATGTATGTCCTATCTGTGAAATGTAAACGTTAGCAGTGTCCTTATATTCAAATTATGCAAGGAAACCCGTTTACTTGCTAGACTTCACTGTCAGACACTATTGAGTGACTGACTGGCTTTTTTCTTCTTTGGTAATAATATACATGAAAAGAGTTGTAAAGGGTGCATGAGCATTTTGTCTACATCAATAACCCACTTCTTGTGATGGCCAAGATTAAACTGATTGAATCTTTGCGCAGCATAAAACGTATGACCATTCGGTACAATTGTCTGAAAATCAAGACCATTACTTTTGGGCTCTATAGCCCTAAAGTCGATTTGACAACTAATAGTCATTATTTTCCCATTTGAAGACATTTTCAAGCCCCACCTTTTTAGGGAAGTTCTAAATAAGTATTATCTTTCAAATGCAGTTGGAATTTAACTTTTTCATTTTTTTGGCCTGCAAATGGGACATAGTACCTTTAAAGCAATTATTCATCATTTAGCGTGTTAAAACACAATTATATTTTTGAGGAAAGGAAAATTTGTCTTTCAACACACTAAATGATAAATTATGTCTTTAAGTTCTGCAAAAAATGAAATTCCATGGATAATCTACAAAATCATGTTTTAGATCTACCGGTATGTTTCACTCCAGAAATATATAATTTATATATATATATATGCAGTCCAGCTCTTTGGAATTAATTTTTCCTTCATCACTCATTAAGTGTTCTGAAGTACCTTGAAAGGATTAAGCCCTTCCATTTTTCTACCTGATAAAATTAAGTTATTTATCAGTTATATGTGGAATGTTTAACACTTTGGTTGCTTTGGTCGCCTCTCTGTACAGTTGCAAGTTTGCCACACAAACATTTCTGCACAATACAATAAGCAGCAATGGAGAGAGGGTTGCTTTGTGCTACACAATGGCTTTGATAAATTACCAATATGGTCTTTATTAGCTTATGACAACCTTTTTAACACCGGCATAGATTAATCTTGCGCTGCAAACAGTAAAATAATCTTGAAGCCTTTGGTATATCTATCTTGTGATAGAAACAAAGTGGCACAGCATATACAGAGGCAATTATAAAGGCACAATTTTAAAAGTTCATATAAAGATAATTACTTTGACAAATGCCAGCTATGGGTCGCTTTACAAGAAACACAAAAACAACAAAAATTGTTTAATCTCGTTTCAGTTAGGGATGAAACAGGTGGGGTTCCTACCCATGGAAAAGGTGCTAATTTACTTGTGCTGTTACAAAGAAATCTAATGCTGCCTGATACATTTTGGCAAAGCACTATCAAAAATTTGAGAGACGTGTACCAATTTCTTTGATCATATGCCAAGGGCATGCGAACGACCCCAACAAGAGCACCAACGATTCCCCCAAATATTATGTTACGTATGGATTGCCAATCGTTTAGAAATTGTCACAATGTGAGAAAGAAGGTGGCCGGTAGAGGGGACATCACATACACCCCACTAGATCCTTTGGCTTGCGTGTCTAGGACCGTACATCTACGGATTGACACAAATCAAATCCCTTTCATTGGAAAGTATGAGGGAAGTGAGACCGATAGGGGCGGGCGGGGCCGGTAGAGGGGTGTCATATATACCCCACAGGATCCAGCATCCCCTCCCAATTTGGCTTGCAGTAACATCGGACTTGGTTAACCGTACCTGCATCATGGCTGGAAAAAAAATAGAAAGAGATAGGGGTGATTATTACATGACGTATAACGTGGTACATAGAGTAAAGTAATGTTTTTCTGTTGGTGAGTTTGTTGTGCATTTTATGTTTGAAAGTTGAAAAATGGGACCAACATTTACACCTGAAATTGTTCAACAAGTAGATTTTTGTTTCAGTATTTAAAACTGTAATCATATTCTCCGTTCTCTCGTTCTTCATCTTTTCATCGTCATTCTTTATCTATTTAATTCTTTTTCCTCTCCTGCCCTCCTTAACTTATTTTCCTCTACTCTTCCTCCTTCTCTTCCTCTTCTTTGAATACTCCTCACTATTCAGCTCCTTCTTCTCCTCCTACCCTCTTTTTCATTCTTACTTTTTTTTAAACTCCTCCCCTCTCACTTCTCTTCCATCATCACCAACATTGAACATTTTCATCAACAAAACTCACGAGGCCAATGAAAACTACTCTCATTGCTATCATCTTCACCGCCTCACTATCATCATCACCATCACCATCATCATTACCATCATCACAATAACCATCATCATTATTTATCACAATTCATAACCATCACCATCACCATCATCACCACTATCATCATCATTCAATCAATTCAATTTCAATTTAATGTCCAATATTGGAAATTTGTTTTGTTCACATTTAACATCACAATCACCATCACCATCACCATCACCATCACAACCCTCATCATCATCATCATCATCACTACCCTCATCATCATCATCACAGCCCTCATCATCACCATCATCATCATCATCATCATCATCACAACCCTCATCAGCATCATCATCATCATCACAACCCTCATCATCATCATCATCATCATCATCATCATCATCACAACCCTCATCAGCATCATCATTATCATCATCATCATCATCAGCATCATCATCATCATCAGCATCATCATCATCATCACAACCCTCATCAGCATCATCATCATCATCACAACCCTCATCATCATCATCATCATCACTATTGAAACTCACCCAGCCATCGGTACAGGTATATCACTACAGTGATACTGGTGAGGGTCAAGTACAGAGTCACACTCCATCACAACCATTATCACAACCATTACCATCACCATCATCACCACCATCATCATCATAATCACCATCATCATCACCATCACAATGACAACTACCACCATCATCATCATCACAACCATCATCATAATCACCATCATCATCACCATCACAATGACAACTACCACCATCATCATCATCACAACCCTCATCATCATCATCATCATCACTATTGAAACTCACCCAGCCATCGGTTCAGGTATATCGCTACAGTGATACTGGTAGGGATCTGGTACGTAGTCCGACTCCATCACAACCATCACCATCATCACCATCATCACCATCACAACCATCATCACCATCATCATTGTAACTCACCCAGCCATCGGTACAGGTATATCGCTTCCCGTGATACTGGTAGGGGTCAAGTACAGAGTCACACTCCATCACAACCATTATCACAACCATTACCACCATCATCATAATCACCATCATCATCACCATCACAATGACAACTACCACCATCATCATCATCACAACCATCACCATAATCATCATCATCATCATCATCATCATCACTTTTGAAACTCACCCAGCCATCGGTACAGGTATATCACTACAGTGATACTGGTAGGGATCAGGTACGTAGTCCGACTCCATCACAACCATCACCATCATCACCATCATCATCATCATCACCATCATCACCATCATCACCATCACAACCATCATCACCATCGCAACCATCATCACCATCATCATTGTAACTCACCCAGCCATCGGTACAGGTATATAACTACAGTGATACTGGTAGGGATCAGGTACGTAGTCCGACTCCATCACAACCATCACCATCATCACCATCATCATCATCATCATCATCATCACCATCATCATCATAATCACCATCATCATCACCATCACAATGACAACTACCATCATCATCATCATCACAACCATCACCATCATCATCATCACAACCATCATCATTGTAACTCACCCAGCCATTGGTACAGGTATATCGCTACAATGATACTGGTAGGGATCAGGTACATGTACGTAGTCTGACTCCATCACAACCATCACCATCATCACCATCATCACCATCACAACCATCATCACCATCATCATTGTAACTCACCCAGCCATCGGTACAGGTATATCACTACAGTGATACTGGTAGGGATCTGGTACGTAGTCTGACTCCATAGCGATCCGCGCCTGCTCCAGGTCATCTTCCATCTTAAGGCTGTTCTCCTGTGGGAGCGCCCAGTAGTCGTTGCTTTCTACCTCCATGGACTGAAAGAAAACGTTACATTGCATTGCATAATGTTAATCATATACAGTCAAACCTGCTTTAGTGACCACCTGTCTACAAAGGAAAGACCATCTGCCTACAAAGACCACCTGCCTACATACATGTAGACTAAGGCTGCGACGGGTAGTCGAATGCTCGAGTACCCGCACGGTTGACAACTACTCGGGTACGATTTCTTGTACCCGAATATTCGGCCGCAAAAAAAATTAAAAATAAAAAAAAAAAAAAAATGTCCAGGCCCACGCTTACCCGTGCCAGGGAGAGCGGCGTCCGCTGGCATGGTACCGTCGGTAAAAATGTTTCCCAACTCAAGCACTGTCAAACTCACCTTTCAGAAACTGGGACCAAATGTCCAGATTTCTGTTTGGACTGGGAGGAAAATGGATTATTCTGCCATCTTTGGTTTTTAAAACAGCATTGTTTACTGTTATTATTCTTATTAAATCGGCGCCTTAAACTGCAACTCAAAGTAAAGTTGCATGCGTTTTCAGCGAGGGACCTGAGAAACTGCCGAGTGGTATGGTAGTGGCAAAAAAAGAAAAAAATTCAAAAAAATCCAAAAATCCAAAAATTAAAAAAAAATCAAAAAAATTCAAAAAAATTATAAAAAAACATGGCGTCCGAATATTTGAGTATTCGCCTGTGAGTGTACTCGGGTACCTCATTACACTGTTGTGCACAGCCCTAATGTAGACTACCTGCCTACAAAGGAAAAACCACCTCCCTACATAGACTACCTGCCTACAAAGGAAAGACTACCTGTCTACAAAGGTAAGACCACCTGCCTACAAAGCACTAGTGCCTGCCTTCAAAGACCACCGGTCTACAAAGACCACCTGCCTTCAAAGATCACCTTTTGTGTTTCCCTTGGGCGGTCGCTATAGACAGGACTGTATTCATATATTTACATATCAGACTATCGGACAGTTTCTTTGACTTTGTGTATATTATTTATTTATCATCGTTATCTATCTAGCTTGTACCTATATTCGAAATCGAACCTCAACTTTTGGTTGCAATGAAGAAATAATAATAATAATTATACACCAAACCAACACACAATAAAAAGATATTATTTTGTAAACAGAAAATTGTATATTGTACCAACTTGAAATCAAGAGATTTTCTTAAACAAATTAAAAATAACTATTTAGTCCATTCATTTAGTGTTTATTTATATCTATTTAGCAATCAGTAACCATGGATCCTACCATTTTTTATTTATTTATCACCAGGGGGGTGTTTCACAAAGATCCTTAATCGAACCTAACTCTAAGTTAGACTTAAAAGTTATGGAGAGCCATTTGTAGCCTTAAAATAAAATATATTCAAAAGCAAATATTGAAGTGTTTTTTACTTTTAATAAATTCCACATCAATAACAAGAAATATCCTTGATAATAGTAAATATGAATGATTTGAATCAATATTTTATATCTTTTAAAATAATTTTTACAAATTATTTTCATAGATGCTAATTGCTTTCCATAATTGTTAAACTTAGGATCTTTGTGAAACACCCCCTGGGTGGATAGGTGGACATATACCAGTATCACAACTGAGGGCTCAAACCCAAGATCTTTCCTTGTTGAGCAGAGCTGCCAACCTTGTGCGACCAAAAAAAGGAATCATGATGGCAAAAAAAAGGAATTCATGAAAACGAAACTTACAACCACGTGCAACACACTTCCAATGCAGAAATGTTCATTCATCATGCTGTTTTTTCCATACAAGCAGGTAATTTTTTTGGTGGTTATTTTGGTATTATCGGCATTTCATTTTTTTTGAGAATATTTTTCTCTTTAACTATGTTTTAAAATTAGTTTTCTATTGAATTTGTGATCATTTCACCATTTTAGGGCAGTTGTTTGATGTGCGGTATGTAAAAGGAAAAAAAAAAAAAAAAAAAAAAAAATTATTAAAAAAACGTATTTTATGAAGAAAAAAACGTAATACCGTAATTTGGAGGAAAAAACAGAGTAATTCCGGCAAAAACGGAATGGTTGGCAGCTCTGGTTGAGTCAAGAATTAAACCATTCAACCAAGACGCCTCTATTTCTTTATGCAGACTTACCTTCATGTATTGGAGTTGTGATTGTAGTTTATCTGCTTTGGCTCGAAGTGATTCCTGCCTTGCGTGCTCTAGCTCAGGAGTTCTAATTTGTTTCTGGAAAAAATTAAAAGAAAAGAGATACAATATGTTCAAAGGATTTGTTTTTGTAATGTGAGCTTTCATAACTTTATTGCCTAGTCGCATGCATCTTTCTATACCAAATTGATAACATTTCGACCAACAGGTACAGCGCAGCGCTGCCTGAGGACAAAATGAACATTTCCCAATACAACAATTCATACTGTACACAATGCAGAATTGTCAATTTGCAGATATGTGAATAATGACTATTAGTCAATAAGCAATAATTCAAATACATTTTGAGATATGGTTATAAAATTTCATTTGTTTATTCAATTATGAGATACTCTATCTCTCTGTCGAGTTTCAGAATCTTTTCATCACTCCATCTCTGAGATCCCGGGGTGGGGTGGAATCTAGTCCAGATTCAGTCCGTTCGTTCTTTTTATCCCCCACACACATCGCGGTCTCTCCACTGATCGCGCAATCCCCAAATTTCCGTCCACACGAACGTCCAGACGAATCTGCCAGTGTCGGGGGTCAAAAGTTCGCGCTAATGTATGCTGACGTAGTGCCTTCGCTTATGCCCCAATGAATATGCATTAGTAACATCGTCGAGCTTTGTTTGTATTAGGATTAGGTCAGCCCTGCCTGAAACCTTGGACCATGCTGAAACTCTACACGCACTGCCCCGATGCAGTGGAAAACACATTGGGTGGAAGTCCATGGTTTTAGCCACTTACTGGTGTTTGGCCTACTACCAGGGAGCCCAACTCCCTGATCTCTTCACATGCATGCAAACTGTATTCTTGTCTGAATTCAATAAGATTCTGACTTGCAATCACTGCCATTATCTCTCGTTGCATGAATAAATCAGCAGTAAATTTAAGATGGTGGTCTCCTGCATTTGTCAATTAAGTTGAAATGATTTGTAAACCGTTGAATAAAGGTAGAATTATTATATAATTTTTGATTATATTATATGATCATAGGCCTATATATATTTTGACTTTTATTAAAGTACCTCGTTTAACGAAATAATGATACTATCAATTATAATGATATGAAGGTCACTTAATTCAACATAAAAACGCTCAGGCATTTGACACGGCACATAAATATGTCTCTATACAATTCTCTTTCGTTCATGACTCGTACTCGTTGGAATGATGAGCCACAGACAAATTTTATTTATATGTATTTGTTATACGGGGCAAACTTTCATATTTTCTTTGGGGTATATTGAGCTAGTATTAGGAATTTGGACCATTCTTACGTGTTTTTTTTTCCCGAAGGACGGGAAAAGGGGAAATCTTGTTTGGGAACATGATGATCTGAACAGGGGGTCGGAATACTTTAGGTGTCGGGAGGGGAAAATAAGAACGAACATCAGTGGACGAAAGATATTCGTGGTTTAAGAAGAAAAAGAGTGGGCCTATTCCCAATTCTTTTGGCTTATTATTTTATTTCCATCTATTGAGAGTGCAAAGAGCGGCAAAAAGTCTAATGGATGGTCCAATACGATTTACTTTTGGCTGTGAGCGCGCAAGTGACATCAATCAGATTGTATGAGAAGTTTTTAAGTCCAAAATGATTTATTTGCAAAAGTTACTTTCATTAAAACTTTTAACCGTATATTCGATTAAATGAAGCTTTAAATACTTAAAACAGTTTAAGTCTGAAGAAGGATTTAGAACTTAAGAGAGTATGCGATACTGAAATATTGAGCCTCATGATATTCGTTATTAAATCTGAAAGGTTCGTGCCCGGTTGAAAAATCTCTTCGACTTAAAATAATAAACCATTCGCGCTTAGAAATAAGTCTTATTTTGTAGAGCATTATTCATGTTAATATTATAACGGAAAACCTAGTCTGTGAACAGTATTGTAAGTGTTGCCTTGTTTCATTCACTTAGACTTTTATGAGGCAATATATTGAGTGGGAAGTGGTGAAAATAGGAACGAACAGATATCTCCGGACGAAAGAGACGGATGGAGAAGGAAGAATATGTAAATCATATCTATCTTGGACATGTTTATTTTGACGTTCGTAGAGCATAGTTCATGTTCCAATTAAAAGGTGGAATAAACCTAAATTGCGAATAATAATAGGATTATTAATAATAATGATAATAATGACATCAACAACAAAAAACGATTAAAAAAAAGTAATGATAGTAATAACAATGATAATGATAGATGTTCATCATTTATCTTAATGGTGTAATATTGTTCTTTATTTAATCAATGTTGATTTGCATGTTTCGATATGGGCATCAAGTATCCATGTGTTTGTTGTAGTAAGCCAGTGAAAGTGTGAAACGAAATCAAAAAGCTCTTCGGTATGTTCAAAGTATGGGGAATGGGTTCACATTAAGTGTGACAGAATTCCACGAATAAAAAGTCATGTTCATACCATCACACCCAACTGCAAAGTATGATGATTAAGCAGTATCTTGGGCAATTTAAAGAGAGAAACAAACGATGAAATCATCCCTAATAATCTAATCACAATGTAGGGGTACAATATGGCAATAATTGTATATTTGTGCTTTGAGGTTTCCCTTTGTAGGTGCCCTTTTTCCGTAAAGTACCCTTTTTGTTGGTGCCCCCCTACTTTGGAAGTTGCTCCGCAAGGCACTTGTCCACGGTAAGAGGAAACTGTTAAATCTCGAAGAACAAAAACTATATAATCTCACATGGCTATACTCCCCATATAATGTCTACAATTTCCATTTGGTATTTTTAAATTCATAAATTGGTTGTAAATTGCTCTGAAAAAATGTCATAAAATGCACTAAAATAAGGCTTATATTGCGCCGGAGAGAATCTAGGATCCCAGAGCTTCCAAGGCCCCTGGACCCCAGCATAAAGGGACTTCACACATCGCGCTGGTGATGTGATTTCAGGGTGAGAGCTTCCGAGTCAACGCTCCTTCCCCAACTTCAAGAAAGCTTCCTACGCCTATAATCTACAATGTCTATTTTTATTAGGAACCTATAATCCACAAGCACCATTTTTTAATATAGGTTCCTCACATTTTACTTGAAGTTTTATTTATTCCACATTTTACAGAAAAACAGTTTATATTCTTTCAATTTCTTATTTTTATACAGGCGTATATTTTATAAGAGTAGATTTCACACAAGAAGAAAAACAATTAAAGATTTCAAATCAAATATAATGTACGGAAAATAAGTGGGAAATTTCAAAATATGTAGATAATAACGGGCAAGGTAGAACAATGTAAAATGTGGGGAGCCTAAATAAAAAGCATAGCTTGTATGTGAATAGGCTCCCGTACTTAATCGGACATGTGAATTGAGTTTCTTTGTAACTTGATTATATACCATTACCATAGCTATATGATTTCTATTTCATATGTCTGTCTCTATACTGTAAAATGTGGAGAGAGCAACAACAAACAAACTTGAAAACTTGAAATGCAGGAAAACCACAGGTTTTTTAAAGCAAGGATATCGAAATTCACGACGTTGGATGGAATTACCCCCTCCGACCACTTTCCTGTTCGGTTGTTTCGCTACCTCGCGGGGTCACATTAACGATGCCATCCAATTTCTAAACACCCCCTTGATAAAAATCCTTACAGGCCGGTATGGACGTGTGACCATAGTTCGCGTGTGCCCTCAGTAATTCGCTATCTCAAAAATCGGTAAGATTTCGAAAATCTAATATATAGGCCTATAGTGGAAAGAGGAACATAAATTAACCAGAGATGAAATTTTCTTTGGAATTGGGTGCGAAATTGAGAAAATATTGACAAAAGATCGGTAAATTTTGCAGTCATTATTTTGTGTCCGTTCCGAAAAATTATCAACTTACCGATAAGGGTCTGGAAATCTACATTTTGAGAGCAGATATCCTCAAAATTGTGAGTAAAAAGTGCTCCCAAACTGGTTGTATGATATATTGCCTTGCAAATTACGATATTATTATTTTTTTATTTTATTAATTGCGTTTTTGATAAATCAGCTGTAAAGCCCCGTGCGCGAAGTAAGGTCTCGTTGTTTTTATAACGTTTTTAGTTGCAGAGCGCACGCCGATCCAAAATTAAAATGATGAGTCATCTACATAATTATGCAGGAAACAATAATTGTGATAAATATGGTCAAAATATAGGTAAAGGGTAGGAGAAACAAGAAATGGTAAATTTCCATATTGAAAAGGGATGGAAATTACCCATGTTAATATCAGAAGCTTAACTTAGGTAAACGATGTTCAGTATTTTTTGACAAAATAAAACATACGATTTGTTCAGTTAGTCTGAAACATAGTTAAACGATGACATTGTATGAATCAAATCAATTATGTGCCTGGATATAAATGTGTGGTTAAACATAGAGGCCGGTTAGTTAGAGGAGGAGTGGGTTGCCACATAAAGGAAAATATATCTTACTTAAGAAGAACGGATTTGGACTGAATGTCACAAGATTGAACTGATGTGTTTAGAAGTAAAAAGGCACCAAAGCAGTCCTATTTTGTAGATATAGATCCATCCAGTGATGCAACTCTTCAATTTTCTTTAATATACTATAACAAAATATTAATGATGTATTTTCTGTCACAAATTCTGTCACTATTGTTTTTGGTGACTTTAATTGTAATATGATGACCATTGTCTGTTATGCGACCTATCGTATATAATGCTCGCCATATATACCATGCACCCAAAACCTTCGACAAATACCATTTCCTAAAACAGAATACAAAAAATTGATCCTTTTTATTCACCAGAAATTGCCATTGTCCGTCCAGAATTGCAAATCACAATTTCAAGAAACAATGTAAACATTTCTCTAACATGCTTTAAAAAAACACGACAATCTGACTACTGTGGGGGGGGGGGGGGGGGGTTCTCGCCGTGCATCTCATGTGCGCTCCATGTATAGTTTAATCAAAATGTACAAATGTTTTTTTTTTTATATATTGAATTGTATTGATGTTTTCATGCATTCATGTTTTGTTTTTATGTTGACTGATTTTGATTGTATCATGTGGTGAGGGAGGGCTCCGTTGGAAAGCAGTTCTTTTAACTGAATCGGAATACCCTTCACTGTTTTATCCATTGTAATAAATAAAACATAAATAAATGTTAGATTCGAGAGTCATTCAGTCCCAGTTTCGTATAGCTCCATATTTCAAAGCTTCGGCAATCTTCTCCTCCGTAAAACGATGATGATTATCCACAGACGTTCTTACAGATTATGGTTAACAAACGATGATAACAACAGTTCCAAAAATCATGAAATGTAAATGTAAATCTCAGAAAACCAACTCGATAAAGCCAACCCGAAGAGCACAGTTTGTGTAAACTCGATATCAGGCGTCTGGACGTCAGTATTTATAGTTCAGTTTGTTTTCAATTTGCAATAGTCAGTTCATGTTTTGCTCCACAATCTTCAAACTTTAATTTCTTTCAACAAACAGAGGATTTTTTATTTATAGAAACATTTGAAATGCATTAACGTAATAAACACTCCACCCTAATTTTTTAAAATAAGTATGGAATCCTTATAATGAGAATAGTAGCTTCGTGACGGCGGCGGAACATTACGTAATGCGCCAAAGTGATTGTCAGGTTTTTCGTCCAATCAGCGTACATCGAACGTGTATAGCTTTGTGGGCGGAGTTAATCTCCCCCGGAATTCCGGGGGAGAATGGCAGATTCGTCTGGACCGTATTCAGGACCCAGATTTAGAGGAATGGCTAGGTCTACTTTCAACGTTGAGGGTGTGTTATTTTATCAGCTGAGTGGGTGCGCTAAACGAAAACGGTACAGAGGCTGGACTAGGTGGAATCCACCCCTAGTACCCCCTCAGCAGAGAGTGCACCCCGAACACCTGGTCTTTTTAGGGTTAAACCTTGTTGCCCACTTATTAGTCGACAACTAGCTTAGTAAAGGTTTAATGTATATGAGCCCAGGGGGAGGGGGGGGGGGGAATGTTTCACAAAGACCAAGATTGACATTAAGTTGGACTTGACTATCGCAGGCCATTCATGCCACTGTTTGCTCTTACCATTTACTAGCGTTGGTCTCTCAAGAAACGTACAAACCATAGTCACATATCTACAGAATTTTGGATATCGTATTTGCCAGCGATAAGGCCGCACTGCTGCATAGGCCGCACCCCAACTTTGACATTTCAAAGAGGAGGAAAAAAAAAAAAAAACAGACAAAACAAAATAATCGTAATTTTCTCTGAAAACACTATTTTTTTTTTACAAACTGATACTAAATTCATCAATATTCTTATAATTTACCGGAAGTTTAGCTAAAAAAGTGATCGCAGGCAGATTTGGTGTCCGATATACCCCTACGGTACGGTGTAAAGCGAAATTGCATGAAATGGAAAAACAAAATGGCGACTTCGGATGGATGCTTCACGGCAGCTCCGTTTAAAGGTCCCTTACTTTACTTTTGCAATGCATTGGCACTAACTTGGATCAAGATATATCGGCAAATGTTGTTTTAGGAAGTTATTTTCATCTTCATGTCAACAATGCAAGATAAAATTGTCGGTAAGATGTGTTGAAATGTCCTGTACCATAGTGCTATAGTTATTTTACCGTATGTAGTCCCATATGTGCAAATTCGTGCTGGTTTTGACTTTCGTTTTTTTTTTTTTTTTACTCTTTCGCCGTAAAGGCCGCAACCCGACTTTTTGATATTGATGGCAAATACGGTAGTTCATTATCGAAGGAAGAATTTAAAGATCATAATGGCGAGAGCAACCAGTGGCATGAATGTCCACTTTTAGTCAATAAAGGTAGAAAGCAAGATCGATCTTGTCTTTGTGAAACACCCCCCTGGTGTATTTATTTGTGCTTTCAATGAAAATGCTTCGAGGTTATCCATAAAATGTGAACAGATTCTTTTAACCATAACAACCAACCAACAGCGAACAAAATTACACAGGAGTTGTGGGCAATTCAGCTCTTGAAAGCTCAAAAATAGCTCTGGTAAACTGAAAAGACTCTGGAAATATATAACAATAAATTTCTCAAACATGATAAATATCACTGAAAAAATAGCACTTTCACCACATGAAATCCTGAAACAACCCGTGTGAACAAAAACATATTTGTTTCGCTGCCAACTTACCTCTAGTTGTTTGCGAAGGTTTTGAGGAGTCTGCCAGCAGCTGTTTGAATCCTGATCTATCTCCACCCTGGGGTTACTCAGCAATGCCTCCTGACCTGACCCCGACCCCAGCCTCTCGGCCCCGCCCCCTTGACCACGTCCAGCCTCCCCCTGGCCCCACCCCTCTCTGTCCAGTTGGGCGTCGTCGCTGCCCCTGCAGGACCGCGCCACGGCCGACCAGCTGGCCAGCCGGCCCCCCTGCCACGAGAGCCACTTTGGACCTTCTCCCTGATTGTTCGGTTGGGGTTCTACCCTTGGTCCCGTGTGGTCCCTCTGGCGTTGGTGAAGTGACGGTGACATGTGAGGTACTTGGTGCTTTGATGGTTGATGGGTGATGGCGGGGAAAGGTGTCTCTGGAAGGCAGTCGTCGTCCATCGCAAGGTCTGACGGCGAACACATCTTCTTTGCAACTGGACAAAACTGGGAGGTAAACATGAGTTGTGGTTGTCTGATTAAGTTGCAAAACAAACTGTGTTCAAGCAAATAGGAAGGTTAATGATGAAGTATATAGATGTTGGCCTGAATTCACTAAGGAGTTTTAAATTTAACCCATGGTTTAAATCTTCCTTAACCCATCGCAAGGTCCGACGGTGAACACACCTTCTTTGCAACTGGACAAAACTGGGGGGTAGAAAAGAGTTAAGTTTCAAGTTTTTTTATCTATCTTTCTTTCATAACACACATTAGATATATGACATGAATATAACAAGTGAACAGAATATGGCATTACAATAGAAAGATGAGGTGACCTTGGTTGAAAGCAAGGCTTGTGGATTTAAGGTCCCTCATGAGTAGCTTATGAGTACGGTATGTCCAAAAAAGAACAAACTCGTCAGATAAGAATAATGTGTACATTTAAATGCAACTGAGAAAATATAAACATTTAAATAAGAACAATACAATCTACTGACTACTAAATAATGGTTATAAACAAGAGGAAACAGGAATATACTATGAGCAACAGGACTGAAACACAGACAAAAACTAAACAAGACAGACAGATGAATAGATGTGAGAAACGGGAGTAGAATTATGCTGACCTATATAGCAAATAATTGCATGGTTATCTGATTAAGTTGTAAAACAAACTGTCTGCAAGCACATGGGAAGGCTGTTGGCCGAATTCACTAAGGATTTTAAAATTTAACCCATGGTTTAAATCTTCATTTACATAACCCATGGTCTAAAATTAGCATAAATTAAGCGCAACACAGCCAGAGGTGCAATATTAGACGCGCTCAAGGCAAGGTACGCTTAATTTGCGCTAATTTTCATAAGAAGAATCATTCCTCCAAAATAGGAATGATTGGCAGCTATGAAAGAGGGAGCAACACTGTTGCTATGTACCTGATCATGCGGTTCCTCAGCTTGGGTGAACGTTGATTTTCTCTTAGTCCCATACATTCCAAAGAATGTCTTGCTCATGTCCCAGCTCGGCCTCGGCAGCCCCATCTGATCACAGGATGAAACTTCCATCACTGCCACGCACCAATCCTGATAAAACTGTGAGATAGAAAAAAAATTAAAGAATCAGAAAACACATTTTGGACATACGTGTGTGTAGGATACCCAGTGGTCTACACAGGGTTTTGTCACGAAGGGTGTTTTAAAATTTGGAAATCAGGCCGATCGATATTTCACACAGACTCAGAAGGGGGGGGGGGGTTAACCCTCAGAACACCCCCTCTGGCCTCTACTGCATACATGTACGTGCCTGAGGATGCCAGACCATAACAACTAGGAGCATATATACTTGTAGTAACAAATGTAAAGAGAAGTCACCCTCGCTTAGGCTCAAACCTCTCAAACCACCAGATTTCATTCAAAATCAGCACTTCAGTCTTTACTTTTTAGATCATTGAAAATTAGTGACAACTAAAATTCAAAAATTAAATTCAACAATTTACCAATTAAAAGAATAGGTCTAGAATCTAGACCTACTTAAATAAATCGGGAAATCTATCGTTATTCCTGGCAAAATGCTGTTTCGCCTTCATCATTCATATTCATGCCATGGTTCAATGTCATTGCGAATTTGTGTGCATTTCTAAATCTTGCCCTTCATTACTCTTTATACTATAGCTCACTAGCTGTTTTAGCCTAGATCTACAGAAAGTCAGATTATTTCAGAGCCACACAATGACACATACACAGACAGAGCAACATCAACAGACACAGGCAGAATAGACTCTAGAGACTAGACTAAGTGCAGTGCAGTGCATAGACCGAAAGCTTCAGTCTCTATACCGTCGGTTGTTCCACTGAGACTACGTCTGGCTCCACTAGACCTCCCGTTATAGAGACTGAACGATCGCCTATGCCAGCCTATGTTGAAGATATCACGGCTAGATTTTAGCCGTTAGGCCCCTCCCACAAACATGAACAAACTTGCCACGGCCGTATTGTTATGCCCCCAAAATCCCCCAAAATCCCCCAAAATGTCATTTTACCTCGTGCATATCCAATTTTACATTAGGCCTAGGCTATAATACACGGTTCCACTTACTAACTTGATTGAAATAATCCGTTTAATGGTCCCTTTTAAGGAAATTATGGGTCAAAATCGACATCCATGTTGAAAATCTTGCAAGCCGTGTTAAACTCTCGCTGCCGTCAATCTCATCCCTTCTAGTCTACGCCGAAGGCAAAAATGATTATGAAGGAAAAACTGTGATAACGCCATTATGAACGTGTAGATGGCACACAGTTTTTCCTTCATAATCATTTTGCCTTCGGCGTAGACTAGAAGGGATGAGATTGACGGCAGCGAGAGTTTAACACGGCTTGCAAGATTTTCAACATGGATGTTGATTTTGACCCATAATTTCCTTAAAAGGGACCATTAAACGGATTATTTCAATCAAGTAAGTAAGTGGAACCGATGTATTATAGCCTACTAGATCTAGGCCTAATGTAAAATTGGATATGCACGAGGTAAAATGACATTTTGGGGGATTTTGGGGGCATAACAATACGGCCGTGGCAAGTTTGTTCATGTTTGTGGGAGGGGCCTAATGGCTAAAATCTAGCCGTGATATCTTCAACATAGGCTGGCATAGGCGATCGTTCTGTCTCTATAACCGGAGGTCTAGTGGAGCCAGACGTAGTCTCAGTGGAACAACCGACGGTATAGAGACTGAAGCTTATTTTAGACTTATAGTTTCCTCTAAGATGAGGGACTGAGATCTATGCAGTGCAGTGCTACTGGCTGCTAGCAACACTGAAATTGACCCAGATTTGATATTGTACAAGTGTTTGAGAAACAGTCTGCATAAATTTAGAGCCATAGAGGAAAGTGTGGCCTGCAAATGCTAAGATATAAGCTTATTAACGCCGTTAACCTGCTACAGCCTTAAATGAGCTGAGTACAGCCTACGCTACAGCCACAGGGTTGTATAACTTGTAGTTCGAGACCGAGCGCGGGCCGGGCTTGCGGCGGGGAACTGACTCAGTGAGCCTAATCCCGGGCGTCCCAGCTGCAGTGGCAATCAATTATCTTGCAATACAAAGCACATGTAATAATGTCAATAAACACCGCAGAACAGAACGGTAAAACAGAAGATAATTACAGCTCTTCCCACAGAAATTTTCACAGGAAATTCAGCTTACGTATTCTATACATTCACGTCGAATGAACGGTACATGTAATATGTAGAAACATACCTAAAATCCCACGAATTCGTCAGTTATTTCCGACTTCCTTTGTTGTGGTTTTGAAATTTCCCCAGCACAGGATAGAGCGCCAAACATTAGTGACCCGGAATTGACCAATAAGAAGCGGCGTCTTACAACCAGCTGATAAAGTTGGCTTCAGTACCGGTAATCTAATTGGCCAGTAGTAGAGAATCTAATTATGGATGTTTATGTTGTTTCGGCATGGCGCCGGTGGTTTTGAATGATCCAAATTGTTTCCATCTTTGTTTATATTGAGGCCAAATTAATTGCCAGTTACTCGCCCAGAATTGTCTTAACAAAGCAATTTAGAGTAGGGGGGGGGGGGGGGGGTGGGGTGGTGTGGTATAAAAAAAAAAACACGTTATTTTCAGGTACAAACAAAATGCTGCTGTCAATTTTGACATACTAATCAAAATTTCAATATGCAGCTCACATGCACATAATTATATTAATAGGCCTACTATACTCCAAGGCTAAAAACAATCAAAGTTAAATTGCGCTAAGCGGTTGATTTTTTTTTTGCCACATCGCGCGTCTAACCTTTGAGTTCAATTAACTCAGTGGGCGAAGCGTTTAAAGGTAAAGACCAGTATTGGAAACGCCCCAATTTCAAAAAATGAAATGGAAGCTGTTATTACCAATATGTGAAAGAATATTTTTTGACTAATACATGATGATACAAATTTTGCCGGGAAACCGCCTACTAATTAATATATTTGGTAAATTAGTTTATCTATTGGTGTATGAGAGATAAACGCACGTGTGCGTAGTCCCATAGACATCTTTCTGTGTACAGTGCTTGTAACATATCACGAAGACTGGGCCAAATTTCTTATCATTTTGACGATTCCAGAACGGGCTTGCATTACACACCAATACGCTAGATGATCAACCTTTTCTGATCGATTCCACAACGTTTCTTTCACAATGCAATCGCATGACCATAACTGGTCTTTATCTTTATGAAAGTGAGGCAAATTCAAGATATTTGTTTCCAGGATGAATGGATGACTAAATTTTCAACTTTGTGCATAACAGTTGAGGTACGGGTACCATGTGAAAGATAAAACATTGAAATTTAAAGAATCAATAAAAGAAAATTGAAAGCTCTACTAAATGTTGGAAATAATCAGAGTCGGAAACGGATCAGGAAATTTCTTGAAAGCCAGGAAGTTTAAAAACTACTTTTCCCCAAAGAACATAGTCAGGGAAGTTAAATCAGGGAATTTGTCAATTCTTCTAGCAAGTCGATGGAAGATCATTAATGTATTCAAGATATTTGTTACGGTTAGCAAATTCGTAAACATGCATGGCACTTTACGGGTACTTGAAAAAAGTGGAGGGGAGGCACTGTGCCCCTGCACCACCTGCCCCCCGGCTCCGCACCCACTGCCCTCTATTATTCTCTCTTTCTCCGTCTGCCTGTCTCTCTCTCTCTCTCTCTCTTCCACTCTCTTCCTCCTCTCACACCCTCTCTCCGTTCTCCCCTTCTCTCTTCCACTCTCTTCCTCCTCTCACACACCCTTTCTCCGTTCCTTTCCCCCTTCTCTCTCTCTATCTCTCTCTCTTCCACTCTCTTCCTCCTCTCACACCCTTTCTCCGTTCCTTTCCCCCTTCTCTCTCTCTCTCTCTTCCACTCTCTTCCTCCTCTCACACCCTTTCTCCGTTCCTTTCCCCCTTCTCTCTCTCTCTCTCTCTCTCTCTTCCACTCTCTTCCTCCTCTCACACCCTTTCTCCGTTCCTTTCCCCCTTCTCTCTATCTCTCTCTCTTCCACTCTCTTCCTACTCTCACACCCTTTCTCCGTTCCTTTCCCCCTTCTCTCTCTCTCTCTCTCTTCCACTCTCTTCCTCCTCTCACACCCTTTCTCCGTTCCTTTCCCCCTTCTCTCTATCTCTCTCTCTTCCACTCTCTTCCTACTCTCACACCCTTTCTCCGTTCCTTTCCCCCTTCTCTCTCTCTCTCTCTTCCACTCTCTTCCTCCTCTCACACCCTTTCTCCGTTCCTTTCCCCCTTCTCTCTCTCTCTCTCTCTTCCACTCTCTTCCTCCTCTCACACCCTTTCTCCGTTCCTTTCCCCCTTCTCTCTATCTCTCTCTCTTCCACTCTCTTCCTACTCTCACACCCTTTCTCCGTTCCTTTCCCCCTTCTCTCTCTCTCTCTCTTCCACTCTCTTCCTCCTCTCACACCCTTTCTCCGTTCCTTTCCCCCTTCTCTCTCTCTCTCTCTCTCTTCCACTCTCTTCCTCCTCTCACACCCTTTCTCCGTTCCTTTCCCCCTTCTCTCTCTATCTCTCTCTTCCACTCTCTTCCTCCTCTCACACCCTTTCTCCGTTCCTTTCCCCCTTCTCTCTATCTCTCTCTCTTCCACTCTCTTCCTCCTCTCACACCCTTTCTCCGTTCCTTTCCCCCTTCTCTCTCTCTCTCTCTCTCTCTTCCACTCTCTTCCTCCTCTCACACCCTTTCTCCGTTCCTTTCCCCCTTCTCTCTATCTCTCTCTCTTCCACTCTCTTCCTCCTCTCACACCCTTTCTCCGTTCCTTTCCCCCTTCTCTCTATCTCTCTCTCTTCCACTCTCTTCCTACTCTCACACCCTTTCTCCGTTCCTTTCCCCCTTCTCTCTATCTCTCTCTCTTCCACTCTCTTCCTCCTCTCACACCCTTTCTCCGTTCCTTTCCCCCTTCTCTCTATCTCTCTCTCTTCCACTCTCTTCCTCCTCTCACACCCTTTCTCCGTTCCTTTCCCCCTTCTCTCTCTCTCTCTCTCTTCCACTCTCTTCCTCCTCTCACACCCTTTCTCCGTTCCTTTCCCCCTTCTCTCTCTCTCTCTCTTCCACTCTCTTCCTCCTCTCACACCCTTTCTCCGTTCCTTTCCCCCTTCTCTCTCTCTCTCTCTCTCTTCCACTCTCTTCCTCCTCTCACACCCTTTCTCCGTTCCTTTCCCCCTTCTCTCTCTATCTCTCTCTTCCACTCTCTTCCTCCTCTCACACCCTTTCTCCGTTCCTTTCCCCCTTCTCTCTATCTCTCTCTCTTCCACTCTCTTCCTCCTCTCACACCCTTTCTCCGTTCCTTTCCCCCTTCTCTCTCTCTCTCTCTCTCTCTTCCACTCTCTTCCTCCTCTCACACCCTTTCTCCGTTCCTTTCCCCCTTCTCTCTATCTCTCTCTCTTCCACTCTCTTCCTCCTCTCACACCCTTTCTCCGTTCCTTTCCCCCTTCTCTCTATCTCTCTCTCTTCCACTCTCTTCCTACTCTCACACCCTTTCTCCGTTCCTTTCCCCCTTCTCTCTATCTCTCTCTCTTCCACTCTCTTCCTCCTCTCACACCCTTTCTCCGTTCCTTTCCCCCTTCTCTCTATCTCTCTCTCTTCCACTCTCTTCCTCCTCTCACACCCTTTCTCCGTTCCTTTCCCCCTTCTCTCTCTCTCTCTCTCTTCCACTCTCTTCCTCCTCTCACACCCTTTCTCCGTTCCTTTCCCCCTTCTCTCTATCTCTCTCTCTTCCACTCTCTTCCTACTCTCACACCCTTTCTCCGTTCCTTTCCCCCTTCTCTCTCTCTCTCTCTCTTCCACTCTCTTCCTCCTCTCACACCCTTTCTCCGTTCCTTTCCCCCTTCTCTCTATCTCTCTCTCTTCCACTCTCTTCCTCCTCTCACACCCTTTCTCCGTTCCTTTCCCCCTTCTCTCTATCTCTCTCTCTTCCACTCTCTTCCTCCTCTCACACCCTTTCTCCGTTCCTTTCCCCCTTCTCTCTATCTCTCTCTCTTCCACTCTCTTCCTCCTCTCACACCCTTTCTCCGTTCCTTTCCCCCTTCTCTCTATCTCTCTCTCTTCCACTCTCTTCCTCCTCTCACACCCTTTCTCCATTCCTTTCCCCTTCTCTCTCTCTCTCTCTCTTCCACTCTCTTCCTCCTCTCACACCCTTTCTCCGTTCCTTTCCCCCTTCTCTCTATCTCTCTCTCTTCCACTCTCTTCCTCCTCTCACACCCTTTCTCCGTTCCTTTCCCCTTCTCTCTATCTCTCTCTCTTCCACTCTCTTCCTACTCTCACACCCTCTCTCCGTTCCTTTCCCCCTTCTCTCTATCTCTCTCTCTTCCACTCTCTTCCTACTCTCACACCCTTTCTCCGTTCCTTTCCCCCTTCTCTCTATCTCTCTCTCTTCCACTCTCTTCCTACTCTCACACCCTTTCTCCGTTCCTTTCCCCCTTCTCTCTATCTCTCTCTCTTCCACTCTCTTCCTCCTCTCACACCCTTTCTCCGTTCCTTTCCCCCTTCTCTCTATCTCTCTCTCTTCCACTCTCTTCCTACTCTCACACCCTTTCTCCGTTCCTTTCCCCCTTCTCTCTATCTCTCTCTCTTCCACTCTCTTCCTCCTCTCACACCCTTTCTCCGTTCCTTTCCCCCTTCTCTCTATCTCTCTCTCTTCCACTCTCTTCCTCCTCTCACACCCTTTCTCCGTTCCTTTCCCCCTTCTCTCTATCTCTCTCTCTTCCACTCTCTTCCTACTCTCACACCCTTTCTCCGTTCCTTTCCCCCTTCTCTCTATCTCTCTCTCTTCCACTCTCTTCCTACTCTCACACCCTTTCTCCGTTCCTTTCCCCCTTCTCTCTATCTCTCTCTCTTCCACTCTCTTCCTACTCTCACACCCTTTCTCCGTTCCTTTCCCCCTTCTCTCTATCTCTCTCTCTTCCACTCTCTTCCTACTCTCACACCCTCTCTCCGTTCCTCTCCCCTTCTCTCTCTCTCTCTCTCTCTCTCTTCCCACTCTATTCCCACTCTCACACCCTCTTACGTTTTTCTCCTCTTTTCTATCTCGCTCCTTCAGCTCAATAAAATATCGCTGAACTTCAAACAATCACGTTTCAAAGATAGGTCTTCATTGTAAATAGGCTTACTGCAGATGGATTATGTTAAGACAATGTAGTAACATTAAGACAATTTTCTAAGATCATTTTTCTCATTGCAGAAAGTCATACCATAAAACGCAAAAACAAATATTTTGAAAAATGTTTACATAAAATATATGTTATTACCCATTGAAACTGTAGTCTTTCACTGTGCATTCGTTATTCTACCGCTTAAAAGCAA